GCTGACCATGAGCCAGGTGCTGTCCTCCGCGTGCCCCAGGGCCCTGTGCCACCCTTGGGAGGGACGCTGCAGGGCACACGCTTCTTAGTCGTGAAGCTCATCTTAGGCGGAGCTTTGTGAGGGCGGAGGCCGGTCGTGGGTCACGGACATGTTACCCGACCCCGGAGGAGATGAGAAGGGCTGTGGAAGTCCATGGGGTCCTTCAGAGCTGTGACGAGAGCCCTGCTTTGGGGGACGGGGACGGAGAAGCTGGGAGGACACAGGGCTTTCTGAGGGGCAGAGAGAGCCGGGTGACATGGGAGAAAGGATGGTGCCGGGAGGAGATGGCAGGCCGGCCGCAGGGCCAGCGGGTGGAGGGAGCTCGGGTCACCCGGCCCCGAGCCGGTCAAACTGGCTTCCGACGCCCAAAGCCTGAGGGTGTCCCCAAGGCTGTTCCGCATCGTTAGCCCATCGCACGCCCTGCTGGCCTTGTGTCCCTCTGTGAACGTGGCCTAGCCGCTCACCTGCCGGGAGCCACGTGGAGGGAGCCCCCGCCCCGCCCCGGTGGAAGAGACCGCGGTGACAGCCCCGCATCCCGACTGCTGACCTCACTGCGCTGCCGCGCCAGAGTCCCCTCCGGACACAGGCCGCCAGTGACGCCCCATGTCGGGACGCAGGCGGTGCGTGGCCGGTCGTTTCGTGATCTGGCGTGACTGGTGGACGGCGCTGGTCAGCAGACTTTTGTGAGCGGGCTCCTGGCCGCTGCACTGTCTTGTGGAACATGGGGCTTCGAGCAGCTGCTTTGCAGAACCTGGGAATGGTCTGTGGTTTACACGATAATCTCAGTTCTGCCTGCCCAGCGTGGACAGGTCATCGGCAGTAATTACCATGGTTCCAGTCGTTAAAATGCCTTTTCCTTTTTAAGTTTTGCTCCGGACTACTGTGACTGGGGACAGCAGACGAACAGCTTCCTGGCACACGTGGGGACTTTGCCACCAGACGCAATTTTGGATCCTGACAAGCCGAGCCACGGGTAGCACCGGATACTGGTTTCACAGGAGACTCCTCAGTTGAAAAGCTTCAGAAAGACTAACTTATGGCTGAATGTTTAGGCACTTTTCCTTAAGAAATGAGACTTGATTTTTATTTGTTACAGGTTTCTGATGGCTCCATAGGACTATAACTTAGCAATAACTTAGATAAAACCTTATTTTACTAAAAAGGGAGCCTGGCCACCTTCTCAGTGAGTATAATTTAAACTTTAAAAAGTTCTGTACTTTTATAAAGATGTATTTTATATAACTTAAATAATAATGCTAAAACATACTAGGGGTTTTTGAGAATGTTATTGCAATATATGTTGTAGTTTGCACAGACTTTTACGCATAATTCTCTTTAAAAGATAGACAGCACGTGGTCTGAGGGGTTCTAAGGCTTGTGGACTAAAGTGTGCCTCAGCTCCTCACCGCTGCAGGCCCCTCGGAGTCAGTGCCACGCTGGCGGACGCCGAGACAGCTCAAGGCTTTCACCGTGCAGCCGGACGAGCCTGCACGTGAGGTCACAGGCCCGGAGGTCGTTGCAGCCGAGTCGGGAGCCGGCCCGGCGCTCGGCTCTCCTTTTCCAGGGGTGCTGCTGGATACGCTCAGACGATGCGTGCTCATGGGGCTGACGTACACTCTCAGACCTCCTCTGCTCTATTCAGAGATTTTTGCCTAGTCTCTCAGCCCCGTGAAATCTAACATCCATCACACCTCAGGACTTTGGCGAGACGGCACCTTTCCCAACTCACTGGACGTTGGTTACAGTCAGGGAGGAAAGGAGGTTCTCCAGAGGGGATTAATAGTAAATACCCCTGGCTCTTAAGCCAAAAGCCTGTGGACTTCTAACAGGTTTCCTTTCATTTCCGACGGTATTTGAAAACAATGCCCTGTATTTGTAGATACCTCTGTGACGGGAGCAGCTCTGTCGTGTTCTCCAGCTCTGTGCCTGCTCCTCGCCACGTCCAGGGGCAGGGTCCGGACAGCCGCTTCTGAGTCATCTCTAAGGGAAACACGCGTCACGAAATACCAGCTCCCCGACCACAAGTGCCATTCCCAAACCTCCAACACGTGGAGATGTGCATGACGGAATTACTGCCTGTGATAGGAGACTGTGGCTCTCTAGGGAGGTCGAATGCTCCGACTTTCTACGGAAGAGATAAGGTACTACAGGGCGTGCAGTTCCCAGAGGGGCGTGCTCTGCTGCGCTAGGAGGAGCATGGGACAGGGCGGGGCGGGGACAGGGACGTAGGTCAGTAAGCCAGACCTGCGTGACGAAGCCCCTTCCAGAGGTCGTCCCATTTTGGTCTTCAGGAATAATTTATCTCTGGGCACTGATTTCAGAGAGATCGAAGTCTACTTCTCTTGATGGCACTTAAAATTGGTACCTCAAGTTTTAAATGGGTCGTGATTGGGGTTTTCATTTCTGCCCACATGACATTCCTGCCTTTCAGTGTATGGAAGGATTTGGGTCACATACTTAAAAGTTACTTTCAGGGGAAATCCTACACTGAAGCAAAATTTGCACTGATTATTCAGGTTGCCTTAAGCTATTTTAAATGGTTACTCTAAAAGGCTCTAAGGATACCTTCCCTTGTCGCACTCCGTTACTCATAGGTAAGAGAATTTAAAGGCGCACTCAGCATATGCTTAAGACTCCTTTAAATCAGGAAGCGTTGGAGTTCTTTAGTATTAGCTCATTCCGGGGCAGATATGTTTTTTTAAAATAGTGATAAAAATATCACTAGAATAATGTAATACTCATCCTATAATGTATAAACACTTCATTATTGTTATTACTGGCAGGAAAGTTGAAAAACCCAGCATTAACTGGTAAAACCCAAAATCTGTTTTTATGATAAAGCTGCTAGTATTTATTTGAATTAGGATTTTTTTATTGGAAAAGATGAAAATGTTCCAAGTGCCTTTTTCTTCTTCCCCTTTTTAAAAACTAATGCGAAAGCACAAGTGCTGTAAACACATCTAGAATATTAAAAACTACGCATCAAACGATTTTTCTCTTTAGTAAACGATCATGTCTACCTGTGAAATGCTGCAGGTATGGATGGAGAGGGAAATTTAAATTTCCGTCAGCTTCCTAATTTACTCGTGCTGCTAAGTACACTAACGAAGCTATTCTTTATGCGAAAAATTAAAGGCTAAGAGAAGGCAAGGAATGGTGATTATTGGTTCTAAGGTACCCAGATGTCTTCGTTTTACAAAACATAACGAAATTAAAGTCAGAAATTGATAGGGAAGAGTCAGTATCCCTGAAAATTTTGTACCATCGTTTCAATCTGATTCAGCATGAAAATGCTGCACGTGAATGTTTCCGTGCGTCTGCTGGAAATACACATAATACACAATTAACTGCGAAAGCGGACGCCTGAGAACTCCGACTGATGCGTGTGGGTCCCTTTCATCGGCTCTTTTCCTTTTTACAATGAACCCATTTAATTGAGCCGATGATGAAAGTGTCCAGTGTGTCGCACACAGAGCTGTGGGCTGAGCCGATGACGAATGTCCAGAGTGTGTCGCGCACACAGCTGTGGGCTGAGCCGATGACGAATGTCCAGAGTGTGTTGCACACACAGCTGTGGGCTGAGCCGATGACGAATGTCCAGAGTGTGTCGCGCACACAGCCGTGGGCTGTACGGAGTTTAGATCCCCGTAGCGCACACATCGTGCGCTCAGTTCTGCCAGTTCCTTGAATGGATCAGGCGCGCGTGTAGTAGCCGTGCGGGTACCATGTGCTGCGCACGTCAGGCACAGTCGCTGGCGTGTCCCCAGGTTTCCTCTTTTACCAAAATCCAAAAGAACCGCTTTCTGGCGGTCTTGAACATTTAACCGTGGAAAGGAATAAGCGTTAGTAAACCCTAGAGCGTGAGAAGTGCTTTGAGAAAAAGGTTCTTACAGTGACATAGTCGATGTTACTAGAATATTGCTTTTATGTTTTAGCAATAAAGGTGAACTTACATTAGGACTAAATGAGTAAATATCTGAAACTTTTGCAAGATTTCCAACTAAAGAAACTTGCTTAAAAAAAGGACCTTGATCTCACTCTAGACTCCTGCACGGTAAAATGATGTGTGCGTAATGCTGCTGCTCCTGGTCCAGGCGGAGGAGCTACTGGATGGAGCTAAAATCGCGGGATTCTCATCAAAGACTGAGTCAAGTGAGGAAATATTTATTTAGAAAGGGACAGCGAGGACAAGGGAGTGGTCATCAGCCCCTCTCTACTGAGTGCCTGTTACTGACAGACACCGGGCTCGGTACTTGTCACGTGTCTGTGGTCCCGTCTATAAACGCAGCGACACCCTTACGTTACCCCTGCCCTGGCCCTTAGCAGGGATCTGTGAAGAGTCCTTTCACCAACAGCAGAATCCCCTGAAGTCTGCTAGCGATGCCCCTGTGCCCCAGCCTGCTCTCTTTCCCATAGCTGTCGCCCAGCTACTCTGGGCCTGGGCGTTGATGGGGCTGAGACTTGCTGCCCGGGGCCCCAAGTCCTGGTTCAGCCTTCAGATCTAGGCCCAGTGACTCAGCAGCTCCTTCCTAACGGTGTCTACCTGCTTCCTCCAACGATGGATCCCTTACCTCTGTTCCTTGACCTGTGGCTGGGTCGTCCCGTCTCCCCAGAAACTGACGATACCTGGCCAACGTTGATTCTTTCGCCTCCACCCCTGGCCTGCCTTTTGGACTTGGCTGCCCCGCTGTTCAGAATGTTCCCTACCCCTCTGAACCTCAGCCTGGCCAGGACTGGAGCACAGGTGCCTGCTCCTCAGGCTACATCTGTGACTCTCTCTGCCGCCTCTGTGACCCTCACTTTCTCTACTGTTCCGTTATCATGTCCTGTCCTTGACCCTGAACCTTAGTGTCCCGTGCACCTTGTCAACCTGCAACACTCCTCCGTCTTTGCAGAGTCCCACTCATGATGCTCCCGGAAGGCGCCAGCGAGGTGTAGAAAGGGGACATTTAGGGCAAACACGCACTGCTTTGCCAGGGCCACGGTCCGTGTCTGCTGTGCCGCCCCCTTGGGGCATTCGCTGGTCCCGAGTCTGGGCTGCAGGTCCGCAGCCCTGAAACCCGCTAAAGGGCGCAGAGCTTACCTGCCCGGAGGTATATTCTGTGGAGGACCACGTGGAAAGTTAAATCACATCGGAATGTTGCACAGTGAACGCTCACTCTGCTCTGACCACCGGTGTTCGGTGGGTGATTTTAGCTGATTTTAATCAGTGTGTGACAACTTGATGGCACTGTCAAGCAGAGACTAAGTCATTCACAACGAGGGCAGCTTCACTAGACAGGTTTCCATGGCAGCGCGTCCTCCTCCATCGGCAGAATCTCTAGCTGCCTTTCTCACTCCTCAGAGGTGGAACCTCGTTAGGCTGTAGGACCCTACGATCCGCCTCGCGCTGTGTCCCCAGCCCCTGGACCAGCGAATGCGCGCGGTCAGACCCTGCTCTTGGGCAGGCCTCGTTTTTAAAAGGTGACTTCTGGCATTTTTATCTTCTGTGCCTGATTTTTCAGGTTTAATACTCATTTAAGGGCTCCTCCCTATTTTCTTATGAATCTTTGACAGATATCCAACCTTTAGGCAAAGAATTCATAATGGAATAAAAAAGGAAATAAAGATTCAATAATGTAGTTCTCAAACGATCCTTAGAAGCGAAGTCCTAAAACAGAAGCCCTGAGGTGAAATTCTGTCTACACAGACACTACCTGTTCTGTCTTTGCCCTCACCTGTCTGAGCGCTGGCAAATAGAATACCCAAGTACCTAACACGACGGGTAGTAAAGAGTAGATCTTTATCTGGTAAAATATCAGAAAGACAGTGACACATTAAGTGGTTAAAAAATGCAACGCTTGAGAAAAAACATGAGTTGGGCAGAGTTTAGCAGGATCCGTATATTAACGATTTTTTTAAAGCGCATATGGAATAAGCAAGAACAGCTAAAGAAAATTGTAAAAAAAAAAAAAAAATGGGGGCAGGGAGAGAACGAGATGGGACCAGTGCACAGGTGTTAGGACACGGCCCCGGGGTAACTGGGTCAGTGCGGTCCTGGTGCAGGAGAGAGCGAGCCCAGATGCAGAGCTGAGTCCACGGGGGAGGCGAGGCATGATACACGTTACCGTCTCACACTAGTAAGGAAAAGAGACCTGTTCAAGAAATGATAGCGGAATAACTGGGTAACATCTGGGAAAAAGTTAGGTTGGATCCGTAACTTATACCTCATGCCAGGATACACTCCAAAGGAATAAACATTTAGATTAAGAAGATTAAACCACAAAAGTTGTAAGAGAAAATATAGATGAATTAGTACTGTGGAATGAAGAAGGCATTCTAAGTATGACTCGAAGTCCACCAGATACCACTTAAAAAATTGATGAATTAGACTGCGTCATATAAAAATTCACATGGCAAAACCACAAAGTCAGCAGACAATGCATTGAAAAAACTTTACAGCTCTTTACAGTGAAAGGATTAATACCCCTGCCCAATAAAGCACTTTTAGGAATTCATAAAAAGGTCAAAGGGGCAGATAAAAATGGGCAAAAGATATGAACACAAAAGGAAATACAAATGGCTCTTAAACACATTGAAGGTAGTCAACTTTACTCGTGATAAACTAAAACACACTGACATGTGATTTTGCATCTAGCGCAATGGCAAAAATCCAAGTGTTTGGTAACAGCTCTGGTAGGGTCGTGTGGACAAGTGAGCACTGTCTAGACGGCAGGCGGAGTGTGGACTGGTGGCTGCCCCCACGGAGGACAATATTCTAGCATCTTTCAAAATTACAAATGCATATGGCCTTTCACCCCCGAATTTCATGTTGGGGAATTTATTCTACAAGTGCGTATTTGAATGTGTGTGAAATTTCAGATAACGAGGTCTGGAAACCTTCCAGACGCCCACTGATAGAGAATGAGCGAACTGATTACATGATCATATAACGGAATACCAAGCAGTAACCAGAAAGGAGTAAGCTATCCAGTGATATGGGAAGCTGCCGAGAAAATTTTTAAAAAGCAAAAAGTGTGTATATGATGCCACTCTGTAAAAATGAGACATTTCTGTCTGCTTGTACCTGCCTGAAGTACGATGGAACCCTAAGGAGCCGCGAACAGGTCACGGTGGGGCGCGGGGGAGAAGCGTGATAGGGAAAGGCCATCCCACTGTACAGCTTTTATACTGTCTGGTTTTTGAACCATGTGAATGTATTACTTATTCAAAAAATTAAATAAAATATATATATTTAAAAAGCCTTATGACTCAATACAATTCAAAAGATGCCGAGAGTCCCTGATTTTTTTTTAGTAGAATGGTAATAAGCTAACTTATGAAATGAAATCGCACAGATAACGGCCTATTCTGAGAGGAGGCTCTAGAGTCAGACTTTCTGGTTTCAAATTCTAGTCCCACAGCCTAGAATTTGTGACCGTAGACAAGTGACTTAGCCTCTCTTATCCTGTTTTTTTATAAAGCAAGCGACTGTACCTACCTACGGGTACTGCTGTGAAGATGACATAATCTTTGCACAGCCCTCAACGCGGCTCTGCCAATGCCAGCTGTCACGAGAAGGAGCATCGTCAGCTACTTACAGAGTTTCTCCCTTCTCCACGAATCATAATCAAATCCTCATCTCAACAGAGGAAACATTTAAGGGGGGCGGGTGTGGAAGAGATGGCAGAAACATGCACTTTAATTCACATTTTCTACTGTATGGTGGGTACAATAGCACATTATTTGCAATTCTTTTTGAAATCAAAGGTGCCCCTGTAGATACTGCTTAAAACAGCACACAAAGATGTGTGTGTGCGCCCGTGTTGTTTTATCGAATAATTTCCGCGACGCCCGCACCCAGCCTGTATTTTGGTGAATTGCTATGGGTTCTACAGGCACTTCAGTCTGCAAACTGCTGAGAGGTTTACTGTGAGCTGTGCCCAAGCTGCCAGCTGAAGGCAGTGCTGTTGAAGATCAAAACAGCTGTCCTTTCTTAGACACAGTGGCACCGAGGTAACGCTGGGAAATACGGCACTGTTTCCGAAACAGATTACAAGTGTTGAGGAATTCGCATCTGACTTATCGAGTTTCAAAACTGAAAACTATTACTATTCTGTCCGATCCTCCTCATAACCTAAGAATCAACACAGGAGAAACATTCGGATTGTTACCAGTTTTAATGTACAGTCTTTCTAACTCACACAGATGCCACGCGGGAAACAGCTCGCGCCGCGGCGGCCAGGGGCCTCTCTGCCGTCATCTCTGCCAGTTACGTGATCAAGTGCTGGATTTTTTAATTATGTGATGAGATAAAGACAAAACGCCAAGAGGAATGACCAGCACGCGTTTTCGCAAAGCAAGCAGAACTCCAGTACCGCTTCGCGACAAAAACCACGTGAACTGGAAAAACAGCTTATGTCACGACCAGACTCACGAAACAAAGGTTCCTACGGCGTACACGACCGTGTAGGAAATACACACACAAAAGTGCAGGCTGCGACCTGCGATCTAATTTATGGTAAAATAAAGTTAAATGAACTTTAGCTTAAGAATACTTCATTTTGTTTATTTTCTTGGTAGTGAAAAACTTCGTTAAAACTTTGAAAAGAACTTTTAATCCTAACTAGACCTTTTAATTTCCTGGAACTCACTCTAACATTTTTTCCTAAGCTTAAAACAAATCACAGTAAAGATAAAAAAGCGATAAATGGAAATGGCCAAGGATTTTCTCCAGTAAATGGTTTAAATAATAGCCTTTTTCTTTAACTGAGGGAACAGTGAAGTAACACTACGAGAAAGATTTTTAAACATAATAAAAATAGAGTGCAAGATTTTTTCATATTTTCTTCAACTCTAAATGAACACTAAGAATAATTATTAATTTACCAGCAACATTATTTATTCGCTTTTTAGACAAGTTGACCTTAAGCTTCCCCCTCGCACCATATAAAATCTGAAATCCTAAAAATGCAACAGTGGAGGAGAGACGCTCCAGTCAAGCCCGCCTGTTTTATTCAACTTAACAAAAACACCACCACCAAAAAAAAAATCGGCAACAATGAAAACCCCGTCTATAAAGGTTAGAAATTTGGTAAGAAAATAAGTAACCGGTGAGGCCTCGTTCCCTCCAACCATATCGCTCTCTCCCAGGGTGACTAATTATTTTTAAAAGAGGGGTGAGCCAACTAAATAGGATTCAAAACACGTCACCGAGTCGTCAGTGAGCACATTTCAGGCCTTGGCAGGAGAAGGTACGGGTTTAAGAGCACTTGTTTACTTCATGAAAGACTGAAGAGTCTGAGGAAAAACTAAGTTTTGTACCCACGTTACTTCTACACGGATGCAACCTTCCAAATTAACCACACTGCATATACTAACACCTTTTTAAAGAATCGATATTTTAACTCTTAAAGATGTTTAAATCCCGGGTTTAGAAAATGACCATGTAGGACTGAGGCATCTGTTGGTACAAGTCACGCATTTATATACAATGAACTAGAACGAACAAGCAGGGCGAGGGCAAGCTTACAAGAGGCGTGAACAAACCTACCCGCTTCAATACCCTACCGAAGCAAATCGGACGAGAGGACGGCATGGACTGTATCCGAAAAGAAAACCCTTTAAAAATGCTTGCTTCAATTTAAAATAGTAAATTCTGTGCATATGTTTTAAATTGGCATTATAAATCCATAAAATCCTATTCAAATTTTATCAAGATGGAAACAAATATTTATGCATTTATTTCTTTTAAAGTAAATGAACATTTCTAAAATTGGAGTAGGAACAAAGAAACACAAAATCAAAGAAAATGCTTTTAGGTTCTAAGTAAAGAATCCTTTGAGCCAGGCTCCCCGCACTCCCAGGCGACGTGGCCGGTGGCAGAGGGGACAGGACTTGCTCGCTTTACCAAAGCAGGTCCTTTAGACCAAAACAAGACAGCAACAGCAACTAAAAGCTTAAGTAAAAACAAATGAAGTCCTGGGGATTTAAGTAACTTCTGAAACTATACACTGAAAGGGCCATTCGTCACACCGACACTTCCATATTCCAGAAGGTGACACGCAGAGCTGGGCGAGGCTAAACCTAAATCATCGATAACTGTGCCACTGATACCAGCCCTAAGCACCATCTGCTCCCCTGTGCCCAACAGATTGATAACAGTGTTATCAGGATGGAGACGGTCATTTCGGCTGGACAACTGGAAGCAAAGCATAACAGAGTAAGAACAAAACCAATTCTAAACTGAAGAGCAGAATATTCGACAGATGGAAACATGAAATTAAACACAGAATTAGTATAACTTACAGGTTTTAAAAGCACATACTTCATTTATAAATACCTCTAATTGACAGTCTATTAAGAATCATAAATATTCAAGTGAACATTTGAATTTTCTCTTTAAGAGTTCAGAATTCTCGAAGTCTTTGAAGATTAGTCTCCTTTTGCTGAATGTCCAAGAGTAAGTCTTCACACAGTCACACTTTATGTCTCTAGTCAGACATTTAAAAGCCTTTATTACCTACTGTGTTGTAATAAGACTTTAAAATTCTGTAATTCTCTTATGCTTGTAGAAAGCCTATAAGAGAAAAAAAAGCATATTAGTATATAGCTAATATGATGTATAGCTGTTTCAAATAATTGATGTTATATGGGCTATAATTTGAAAGGAAAATCCAAAATAAGAGAATGTATACAACACTGAACATTGAAGCTTCTAGTTTTAAATAAGTATCTGTAATTACTTATCAAAGATTAATAAAACACGGAGCCATGATTCTTTCTTTAGTCTTGGTCAACAAGGGACAAAGGAAGCCAGTTACTACTTCTTATCACTAGATTCTAGACTAATGATGGGAACAGTGATATGAACACTTCGTCACAATGAAGAACCTCGACATGACGCGTGGTCTGCAAATCCGCTTTGCACATTCCTCTCTGGAGGTGCGCTCTGTGCTGCTCCCCAAACACACGAGTTTGTTTGCACTGTCCACTCCTCAATCTGTTTACTGACTGCTGCCGAATCCCTGTGCCCTACGCCCATCAGTGTTTACGGTGCTCAATAAAGAATGAATGAATGAATAAATACAATGCTTCTGGGTCCGGGTCCAGCAGTAAAACTCGAATAGAAATCCCCAAAAAATAATCCTAAAAGCTTGATGATCCTTACGTAAAATTTGGAGTGGATACAGTAAAAATCTAACATTTTCATTCTATAACTTAGGATAATATAGGATGCATTATTCAGCTCCTTTCTTTACTTAATAATTTTTCTTATACCAAGAGTTTAGCATGTGCCGGGCAATGTTCTGAGCACACACACACACATAATCTCATTAATTGCAAAAAAAAATAATAATAATAATTCTATAAGGTAGATAAAATTAACCCTGATTTTACATTTTTGGAAAACTGAGGCTCAAATAGAGCAAGTAATTTTCCCAGGACACCCAGCAAGTAGGTGCATTCTAACCAGTTAATCAGACCCCAAGACCATGTCGCCGCTCAAAAACTCTATGCTCTCTATGGTGCCAAAACCATTTTCTTTACACTCTGACAAGTTGTGGGAGTCATAGAAAATGAATTCTTACTCTAATCCTTGGAATACTAAAGGATTGAAACAGTTTTTAATTATTAGGAAAAATGTGATTATTAAACAAATGTGTAAAATCATACGCTATACTTCAAAGTAGCTGTTAAAAAAAAAAACCTACCAGAATATATATGAAGATGCAGTAGAGAGACCAAGGCTTAACTAACTCAAGAAAAGAGCTTAGTAAATAGCAGATGTGGTCAGAATGGAAAACCACGCCCCAGTCTGACGTGGACACAGACGGAGCGGGTCAGGGAAGGTGAAGGCGCTCGTGAACGTTAATTTGGGTGTGTCCCCTTCCCGAGGCACCAGTGGACCAGCGCTGCGTGGACCGCTAAGCACAGTCCATGGAGATGAAGCCCAGACCGCACAGTTTATCACCCAGGAGATGTCTCCCACGTTCTCTATTAGTACCCCAAGGTTGACACGGGAAGGCACACAGCATACCTGCGTCTACCTACTGCTCTACCCTTTTAGAGGGGCACGAAAATATAATCTCCAACAGGTTTATTAATGCCATGTCATTGTTCTCTGGAAAATAAACCATTTGATGTAAATGCTGAAACTATCAAAAACTGGCTGTTAGTGTAGGAAAGATCCTGCAGGGTATTCAAGATAATGAAACCACATTTTCCAGGATTCAGTGGCCAGAACCAAAGACAATGCTCACTGTACAGTACATCTCTGCCCACGAGCATCACATGGCAAAGCAACGGTAGAGCTGTGTTAAAGGGACTGCCAGCCAGGAAGCTACCAATTCGCTTAAGAAAGGCTAATGCATAAACTCCCCGAAGTGTAATACAATAATTTTTTGTGTTAGTGCATCCACAATCACTTACTACTTAAATGGACTGATAATCAGGTGGAACATATAATGAAACGAACAGATTTCATTAAAGAAAAACAATAATATTCTTTAAAGAAGCAATGTATAGAATGATATGAAGGAAGCAAACTCAACTGAATGTAAAAACAGAATGGCTAAGTTGTGACATATCAGTAGACACTAAAAATAATGTCTGTGAGGTCCCCCTCGGCGCCTTCACTCCGCCTGTCGCTCTCACGGTCCTCGTCTCTTACTGTCCCTCTCACTCTCGGCCTCTGGGAGGAGACCACGCTCTGCGGAGCGTTACCCCTTTTCTAATAAACTTTCCTTTGGACTCAAAAAATAAATGAATAATGCCTACGAAAAAATTTTAATAACCCTGGAAAATGATTACGATTCCAAGTAAAACTGAAGTATAAAAAAGTATGCTCTCGACTCTATAAACACATATATACATACACATATATAGTATATGTTTATTTTTCTTATAAGTACTAGGGATATACACATTAAAAATAAAGAAAATGCTGAAATAGTCCAGGGTGGTAGAGATATGAGAAATTTAAAACTTATTTTAAAATGATGTTTTCATATGTTTTTCCAAGTTCTCTGTAACGACCATGACTTTTATAATTGGGGGGTGGGGAAGATGACTATTTTAAGGACCTTTAAAATGCAGACAGATAAACTGCTATTTGTTTCCCCCTCGGGGAGGAAAAAGGAAATTAGGCTGCACCTTATTTACGTCACTCTCCCACCCTGAGTGTCATTACCCTTAAGAGAAGAAAGGTTTCTCGCATCTAGATTAATCAGAAAAAAATTTTTTTAAACAGTAAAAGATTAGAGCAGGAGGCACGCGGCAGTGCTTGAGTCACCGTGGCCGCCGCGAGCCGGGCAGCGTCTTGTGGTTTAAGAAGCGTTGTCGCAGACAGTCTCGTTTTATCTTCACAGTAACCCCGAGAAGGGTTCACCTTACAGAGCAGGGGAACAGCCTGAAGAGGAAAGTGACTGGCCGGAGCTGACACCGAGTAACCGGCCGGGCCCCAAAGTTGGGCGCCCGGACCCTGAGCCCAGCCGGTCCGAGAACGGGGCAGGGTGATGATCCCAGGTTCTGGACACGGGCCGAGGCAGGAAGGTCACAGTTAGGGGTATTGTCTGTGAGACTCCAAGAAAGTCTGAGGAAGTCGGCACCTGCTTCCTTCCCAATTTAATTTTACTTGAATTTCAAAGATGTTTGCTTAAAATCTTCATTTAAATTTTATTTTAATTAATTTAAATTGACTTGTTTCCCGTTTCATCTTACTCTCGGCCTCATAAGAGGGTGCACTGAATTTTTCATAAAATACTAATTACTGATGGACATTCTACGTCTATCCTGTTTGAAACCTTAACCTACACAGTCGTCTTTAAAAACGGGAGCAACAGGTGAAATCTATGCTATTAGGGTGGGGGAAGGGACAATTTATTTTACATTTAATTGCCCCTTTTTACCTTAAAAACGCATGGTAAGAAAATGTAAGAAATAATCTCTGTATCACCTGGTTCCCTATTTTTAAAAAAATTCTTCCTTTTTTCCCGTTTTCCCAGAGCATCGTATTATTTTCTGATTCTGTTCCTTCTGCTCCCTGTTCCTCAGCTGGTATTGCATGGACCTCTATAGGCAAATTCACGTGATCTTTGAAACCATCAGTGGTATAAATAAAAAGCAAATCATACATCTGTATACAGGAAGAATGGGGTAAGACTAAGTGGAAGAAAAATGCCTCCTGGGTTTCGGAAATAAGAGCAGCTGAATGGTTCCATGTTTCTTTCGTCACCTTCTCAGCCAAGCTCTCCTTACCCCTGCTACTGTTCTTGAACAAGTGACAGCCAGCTAGAGAGCAGAATATTACGGGGAGAATATTCTCCCCACGCAACTGAGAAGGCAAACAGAAATCCTGACAAACAGAAATCCTGTGAGCTGCAGAGAAACTGACTTGTGAGTACAGGTATGACAACGTATGAGGATAGTTCTTCCTCTGTCGACAGAACAAAGCAAAACAAACTGCTCTAGCAGAGGTGACCTGTGGAGTTGGCTGCGACGTGCGGGAGAATCCGTCCTTACCTTCCAAACGCGTTTAAAAGAGCGACTATTTCCTGTCGAGTGAGCTGGAAGCCTTTCGATGGGCTGTTTTCTGGAAGCTTCTGGATTTCTTTTTCAGAGAATAATATCTTCAGGGCAGTTCCTAAACCCTGGGTCTAATGAAAATAGTGATAAACTTACAATTATATTCATATCATAACTACCATAAAGGCTTAAAGGGACAGTCACTGGGAGGAGAGGAACACACATGAACTCAACCTCACCACACGCAAACTATGCAAACTACAGTTTCCACCTCCGCACGGACTGAGCATATGATAAGTTTATCTAAGCTGGTAGAGAAACCTGAATAATTTAAGAGTTTAAAACTTGTTGCATGCATACGATATTCTGAATTACTAAAATGCCTCTTTTAACCTAGAAACTGTCACATTAGGATAACGATATCCAATACGTAACCTTAAAAGCCCCTAGCAACTCAAAACTTAGAAATCATCAGTGACACCTACACTTAACAATTTCTCAATTATTAGCACTAGAAGAAAACTGATTCCATTAAAATAATGTCTCTTGATTTTCTATGACACTGTCATCTTTGTAAAAACAAACAAACAAACAAAAGGGATGAAATATCAATCCTTTTTACATGAACATAGAGAGAAACGGGCCTGGCTGACAGAACTGTGCTATTTTGTGACGAGGTGGCCTTCTTTTGATCACTGAAACAAGTTCGGTGACCAAAATTTCATAATTAAGTCCTTTTAACTGTCATCTTTGTAAAAACAAACAAACAAACAAAAGGGATGAAATATCAATCCTTTTTACATGAACATATAGAAAAACGGGCCTGGCTGGCAGAACTGTGCTATTTTGTGACTAGGTGGCCGCCTTTTGATCGCTGAAACACGTTCGGTGACCAAAATTTCATAATTAAGTCCTTTTATATAATTATATTTCATCTTTTATATGGGTATATACTAATATGCTCTATAACCAACTTCAGAAATGAATCTGATTGTATCAACAGAAACACAATAAAATCCGAATCATTAATACAGAATAGGAAAAACAGCCTTACACATACACATTAACATAGAACTTAATATTAATTTACTAATATGCTCTTTAACCAACTTTAGAAATGAATCTGATTGTATCAATAGAAACATAAAAAACCCGAATCATTAATACAGAATAGGAAAAACAGCCTTACACATACACATTAACATAGAACTTAATATTAATTTTTTTCATCAATAATACAAAAAAACACAATCTCGAATTCAGTGAACAAAGAGGACATTTTAATAAAAACTTTCGACTCTTCAGTGGAAAAATTTAAGGTTAGTACTGGTTTCAAAATATCAGACAACACACGAACCTGTAATTTCCCCCACAATCTGCACTTGTCACATCCGACGCAGTCCATTATACGGGAGATATTCTTGAAATGTAACCGGAATTCCTCCTGGCATGCAGAAGATATTTGCATTCTAATTAGATGTTTAAAATGAAACTGCACCCGTTCGAATTATAAGAAATAAAAGTTCTGAAGTTTATTGACCGAGTTGTGTTTTTCAACAGTGAAGAACAAAATGATTTGAATTTGTATAGCATGCCACTGCACGTAACACAACTAACGTTAATGGAGATTAATAAAATTCATTCCACATACTAAGTCAACACACTTTTTACTGAGGGACAACTCTGTGCAAAGCACCAAAGTACGCGCTCTGAGGGACACAAAAGCAAATAATACGTGGTTTTTACTTTTAAGGAACTTAACGGCTGCTTCCATTTGATGTCTGGATACACCCCGTGGTAAACAAAGCCGTATTTCACTTATTTCTGACGGACTGCTCTGCGAGTCTGAATGGGAAAGCTCAGCCCAGAACGGGGACAGTCCCCGCGCCTGTCCTCGCACGGAGCTGTCTGTAACGGGTACCCCGGCGTGATGGCGCGGGGCTGCGCGAGGGGCCCGTCCCACGGGAAACGCTGGCCTGTGCGCATGCGCGCGCTTCTAAGGCTCAAGCCACCCTCGCTGTATCCGAAGGTGACACCAGTGAAGAGAAAGTTACCTCATCTTTTTCACACGGCAGACTAGGAATAAAGATCATTTTACTGTCCTGAGGTGAACATTTTATTGCCTGAAGCTGGAGGTGAGGAGCCTGAAAACTGGCCGCCAGCGGCCCGCCCAGGGTTCTGAGGAAGAAGGTAGAACGGGAAACTCCTGGGCTCGCCAGGCTCATGTGACTCATGTTTTCTTGGGGATGAAAAAATGGGCTTTTCTCCTTTATGCACCTCTGAAAAATAACAGATGAAATTTCCTGCATTTTGTGGCTTTGTGAAACCTTAGGCCTTTCTCAGCCTCACCTTCCTCGTCTACGGAAAGATACACAGTCACAGTTGTCCTATCGCACAAGGGCGTTGGGAAGATCACACTATATCTGTATACATACTCAGAAAATAGGAAGCATTGCAAAAATAAATTCACATAATATTAAACACTGTAATAGCAAGACACCTCTAAAACAACTGTAAAACAAAACAACCTTCCAAAACTAAAATATAGCTGTAGATAAATCACTTCACTTCAGGAATACCTAGCAGCTCTTACTGATGGAGAACCACTTGATGCTAACTTTTTAGTCCTTGTAGTGTGTGCACATCTAAAACATCACGGGTGGAATGTGTTTCAGAATTCAGAACTTTTCAGATTTTAGAAACACAGTACATACACTATTATGAAACACCCCACCAGAGTGTGTGGCGACACCTGTAATCGAATACACTGTTTCTGCAGCAACATGTAAGAACAGTAACAGCAGAATTTTTTTAAAAAAATGCTATAAATATTCTTACATTAGTTCAGGTCAGGTTTTACTAACAAATTAATTTGCACCCAACATAACAAAAATGTTTGTTTTCAGATATTGGAAATACATGTAAAAGATTGTGGAGCTGTACTAGAAGACTATTTGCCAGCCAATTTCAAATACTTTTATAACGTTTTAAGGGTACAATGTACTTTGTGATGTACTTACTGTAACATAATAGCTTCATAAACTGGAACACTGTATCAAATAAACTTTAGAAAAATATACTACTTATTGCCTTCAAAGTGGGTTCAGGCTAATGATTTTTTGAAAGACACACTTGATACTGTGATTTTAAAGTAAGAAACCACTGTCAGAATAATACCCTTTAAAAAGACATGTACGAATGTGCCACGCACATTGGTCACAGTAATGACTGAGGACTCGCTGAGCAGCTGGTCAAATGAGAAAGGAGAAAGGCCCAGAGAAGGAAGTTGGGAGAAGCAGCTTTTTGTGTCACTCATAATAAATCCAATCGACCAACTTCGACGAGAGGGACGCCTGGGAAAGAAGGGTCTGGAGGGAAAGGACTGAACGCAGCCAGCGCACTGCTCCCCGCCCTGTGTCCCCGAGTCGAGAACTCCGTACCTTTAACGATTTGGCCCCCTTTTTGTCACCTGCGAACATGGATTTCTCATCAAAGTGCATGGGAAAGGACCTGATCAAAGAACGATATTGTAAGTTACAGACAAAAAAATCAGTACTATGTATTGGAGCTGCTAGAATTTTCTATCCCTACAAATATTTAAAATTCATAATTTACACATGCTTAAGGCTTAGTAACATAGAAGGTAGCAAACAGTTCACCTTTAAACTATTCAGTAAAAGACTAAAGCAAGATAATGATGGCTTCGGAATGTATAAGTCTAATGTTCTAAATAAATGACATAACAAAAATAATCTAAAAAATTAAAAACAATCTATGTGAAAAATGTGCAACACTCAACATTTTAAAGCATCATTTAAAATTAATGCATAATTTACTTTAAACATTTCTTAATCCAACATGCTCATTTTACAACCAGTAAACTCAAGTTTTATAGACCCAGCATTTTTTATGAAGACGGTTATATTCTGGAAAGTAAGGCTAATGTTCCCTTCGGTGTCTCTCTTTATGCTAACATCCGATATCATCTGAATTTAATTAGTAACTGGAAGAATACAAAATTGGTAGAAAGAACATGAAAGCCACATTAAATTTTGATACCGCACAAAATTTCAAGTTATATTTTAACTTGAAATTTAACATTCGCCAGTTTGCGAATGTGAAAGTCTGCAACGATGCTTTATAGATGATTTTCAGTTAACGTTTTTAGAAAAAATTTTCAATACTGCTGTTCTATTGACCATTTCCCTGTCGGTTCCAACTCTCCCTTTTCCTAACTCTTAGCAGCCAGTGTCTGTTGTATTTCAAGCGCTACCTCATTCAAATATGGAGCAGAGCATTTCAGAGCACTGGTGATGTGTGATTCTTACTTTGTATCTTGAAAAATATTCAGCAGAAGAGTTTTTGTGTCAGCATCATCCTCTACATTTCCAGTGTAAAGATCGACAATTGAGCGCTCAAAATATGGGGCCACCTTTGATAAAGCTCGAAGCTCAATCAAGTATAAAAAGTACAGGTTCTTCAGCCTCCTTGGACCTTCTCCCTTGGTTTCCACAGGGTCAAAGCGGCGTTTAAACTCCTTTATGTTAGGTCCCCAGCTAGGTTTACCCCAGGTTTCTAAAGAGAGAAAGAAATACATGACACGTTTCTGACAGAATTTTTTTCTCTACAGAGAATACATATTTCTCCTCAACAATTTTAACACTAAAGGCAAAATTTCTATGTAAAAATCTGATTACCTTCCAGAAGATAATTTGCGCACAGATGTAAATTGATACTAGCATGAAGTCCTGATATGAGCTTATAGAAGACTCTTTTCTCCAGACATAAACCTGCTCAGAAAAATGATGAAAAAGAAATTGCAGCTATTTAGATAAGAGGAATACTGAAGATTCAGTACACAGGCTTATTTTTAAAGTTAAGATTCAAGGACATTAAAAATAAATCAAGGAATAATATGAAATCATTAGATCAGGATTCTCTCAGTAGAAGAGAAAATAAGATTGTGACTTCAGAATGGAGTGAACTGAATATAACTTAACGCAGAACAAGACAGGAGATGCTGGGCTCCTGGAGGTCCCAACACTATGGAGGCACCTGGCAGGTTCCCATGTTACCCAGAAGGCAATGGTATAGATTTTTCACGGTTTGAGCTACACTAAGGCAAAAGTAATCATAAAGTCACTGCTTTGGCTTAACAACAGTTGTTTCTCCTTTTCCCGTTCCTACGAAAGTCCTTTCTTTGGACCCACTTGGTGATCAAGGAAGGAGAGGGTTCTGCTTCTCTCCTTCCGCCAGGTCCCTTTGTGTGGCTGATGAATCCTCCGCCCTAGAATTCTCCAATTCCGCTTCACCATGTGTCCCTCTTGTAAGGAGCCCAAACTTGGAAAACCGTTTACTATGTGAGTACAATCATGTCCGATGGAGTTCAGGACTATAATGGAAAATTATTTTACGGAACCTTCTTAAGTCGTACAGGCTTTTGCTCAAAACGGAGGTCAAGAAAATTCCACTACCCTATCCTACCCTTACCTCCATTTTAAAAGATTTTCTCTTATTATAAGAGTGATACGCATTGTAAATGTATGAAACTTAAAAATGATTAAGATGGTAAATTGAAAGTTATAGTTCACGATAAAAAAGAATTTTTCAGAAAATGTTCTTCATAGAAAATTTTTAAAATAAAAATGCAAAAAAAGTAAGCTTCAAGGACCCACCGGATGTAAAGCAGTTGGCCTCTTCCCTCCCTTCCCACCCAGCAGGATTTTTGTTTTTGTCATTTTTGCTTTCTGTTTTTTCACACTCCCTCAATGCGGGGAAAATGGGCTTCAACAGTGGAAACTGAAACGTAAGCTCATTTATATGCTGGGGGATATTTTAAATGTCAGAGTATGCAAGTGGCTTGCTTTGTATGTTTTCAAGATCTTTTAGATCCTCAGTCATTCTCTATGTTCCACCATAGATGGCTCTGAGGAAGTAGCTTCTAACAGGAAAAAAGAATTCTTTTGAGATCTCAATTCAATTCAGAATTTTTGCTAGAATATTCTCATTGTCATGGGCGGAGAGCAAAAGGTAGAAATTAAATTCTACTATGTAGCTTCCTCTTAAAAATATATGGCTAATTTAGACTATGTACAGTAACAAGGGTATGAATAAACTATCTGAATAAATTTGATAAAACATTAGGTGCTAACTTCTCTGGCAAAACTTCTCATCGAATCTGTTATCAAGTAGCAAAATGATCAGATTTCAAGTTTTTTCACTTTCTTTTCTCCTTGCCCGCGTCTGTAAGCAACATTTACATCCAGTAAAATGTCCAAAGATTGGAAACGGGAAATCAGAAAGCAAAGCTTGTGAAGATCCGTACAGCTAAAAACGAGACCGTGAAAACCTAGGAGGCGATTCTCATCTGCGAAGCCCACGGAGCCCTTGTGACTCGGGGATGGGGACAGCGAGCAGGGAGGAAGAGAGCGCACTTCCACCAACGTGACCACCAGGACACTTCAAGCAAACGGTAATAACCGACGACGTGCCAGCTGGTGCACGGATGACACACGCGGCACACTGAGCGGAACCTGCTGGCCGCTTTTCCCGCCTGCGTCCCCGCCAGGCCCGCTGCGGCCTGTGCACATGAGGTCTGGGCCACCTCCAGTCCCGCGCTCAAGTAAAAAAGGCAAATCCCATGAACATCTACTCCTAACATTACAGAGCAAATTCAACTACCCCATTTCTATAGTTTTCTCTTCTCTTGCATTTAATTTCATTCGAATTCATCTTCAACAACTGAATTATAGGACATTGATATATTTTTTTCTTTCACAAAAGGGCGCGATTTACTGTGCTGTTTGGCATGAGGACACTGCTTGGTGGTTTTCAAAGGAAGTTTTACAGGCGTGACCTACACTCACAGCTGGATGGTGACTGCCACTGTCATGCCCCCGATGAGGAAAATGAATCTGGGAAAAGCCGAGTCAGTTATCTATAAATGGGGGCGCTCTCTGCACCATATATGGGTACTCGGGACTGCCATCAGCCAGACCCTACAGGACTGCTTAATACTGTACACCCTAGACTCCAATTCTGCCCACAATGTCATTGTCATCCTCATTATCAATATTCAGAGTCTGACCACCTCTTTTAACCTAAATATTGCTTTTCACAATTTGTATCTTTAGAACAAAGCTACTTAAACAAAGCAAGCACCTTCTTCCACACAGGCCATTCATCGTATAATTTCTAGCAGTATTTGCACATTGACACTGTTTGCCTTAACGATGCCCAATATATGCACGTAGTTCATTAAAAACAGAGAAATCATGTTCACAAGATAACATGACAAATTAACAAACGTAAAACAGAACTAATTACCTAGTTTAGCTCTGTAGAGTTCCTGTCAGGTTATGGATATGAAATATCAATTTTCCTATATCATTCAACTTGCTTACCTTTCATTAATACGTTTTAACTTTTGGTTTCATAAATCAATGGCAAATTTTTAAAAAGCATCATATATCCAGTTGTTAAAACTGTAGGATGTTTTAGCTTTCCATTCATAACATTTTCTATTTCAACACTAAAAACTATAAGAATGCAAAAGCATCTAGTATACTGGGATCTATACTGCTTTAGCCTTTGAGGAGACAATTTTAGGCAAAATTCGCATGTGTAAATATGTTTAAAACTTTCTGGATTCAAATTTATCTTCCCTCAATTTCATATATAAAAAAGTACTTCCTTCCAAACAAGAACGTCTCTACCTTAAAAAGCAGGTTTCCATAATGGTTTTTAGAAGAGTGGTTTGGATGAGCATCACATACAGAATAAAATAAGACTTGTGAGCCGGTTAGGAAAACCTTATGACAGTGTCTGCCCTGTTTGTCTCCATAACGCTAGTTTTTGGCTGACCGGTAGCCTCAAATTTTTTAAAAAACTGCATCCCAACATATAAAAACCTGAAACATGTTATTTTCTTTCAAATACTGTCAAAATTAGTTGTCAAGTTAAGAATCCTAAAACTTACAAAAATATATTGAATAAATATATTTTCTACAAGAATCCAAAAAAATGTAAAACGCCAAAAGTTTACCTTCTAGCCATGTGTAGAATGATTCTCCTAAAAAAACAACCACACAGAGAACTGGTTTAAAATATATAGTCATTTATATATTAGAATAAATTAAGTTTATACAATATTTTTGTGACAAATTAAGAAATCTCTCTAGAAATGTCCACTGTTTCATGTAAAGTAGAGAAATAGGCATCTGGTTCTAGAAAATCAAACTCTAATTCAAGTATTGGGAGAATGTTCTTATGATTTTTTGGCTACAAATTTTGAGAAAACATTTCAATCAAAATGTTATGTAAATCTTATTCACTAGGAGGCTTAAACATCCTTAAGTATGTGAGGAGAGTTTAACAGTCTTAAATTTGCTTTTGATGATTACGATAGCACTCTTAAAAATTCTAGAAAAAAATAGTGAATTCTAATTAATACAAAATCAAATTATTAAGTATTCCATTTTTCCCAATCCAGTAAAGCCAGGTATATTTCTTCGATTATCTAAGTTTCAAGGGATAATTTAAAAATTTCTTAATTTTCAAGATAATTCTTCAGAAAAATTAGTGACTAGCACATGGAGGGGCCTGACTTATCTGTGTGCTGATGCTAAAAGAGCTATTGCTAGACCAAATTGTTGTTCTGACTGAAAAAGAAAATGGCAGTCAATAAAAATCAAAATAGGTAACGTGCTTCCCAAATTACATATTCTTATTTTATTTTGAGACAAGCAAAGCATGATAAGAAAACTCAACCCACAGATGAGCTGAGCGTGGAGTCCAGGGGATCAATCTGATGGAGGTGGGGATTATTTTGCCTCCTGAGAGTCTACACACTTTGCAAAACAATACAGACATCTTCCTACAGATTCCTTCACTCAGCATCCTCTAAGGACCACTTATCATTATCTCACTTGTTTATTCAACCCCAACTGCTAAGAGTAAAGTCGAGCTCCCCTATATAAAGTCTTTCCTAGGTTACAGGGTCTCCCCAAACATGCTTCATTTTTCCTTTCTCATCTCCTTGGTCCATACTATTTCCTCCAAACAGCACATACTTTCCAGTTCTGCTGACCTGAATCTGCCCCATTATTCATCTCAAATGCCACCTCCTCCAGCAAGCTTTCTCAGATTGCTCCAGTGAAATAGGATTTATTACACCTTTAAAGAGCCCTGGCACCTGTCTGTACTTTGCCATCACCTACGTAGAGTGCTCACCATTCTTTCTACACACTGGCAGCTCCTAAAGGGAAGGCTTCATGTTTTATGCATCTTTCTATCTTGCATACCACGGTGCCCTTGAACACAGATATCCATTTGAAAAAATTATTTTGGCTCTTTTGGGGCACCTTATGAACAATATTCAGTAACCTAGAATAACTAATTGTTGATAATTATTATTATTCACCAGATTAAGTATTATAATGATAACTGAGGTTACAAATTTCAAAGTCAATAAGAAAATAAAGAAGTAACAAGACAAATTACCTGGTCAAACTACGTTAACTTCTTTTCTTCAGAACATATTCAAGTAGAGTATAATAACCAGAAAATGGGGAAGTTGGTATGTAATCACGGTTGCTATACTAAACATTTAAGGAAAACGGTCTTTATACTTTTTTAATATAGGATAACTACATATTATTAAATATTCATTTTTGGTCACCATTCATTGGTAGCCATTTTATGAAAAAAGATAAATTCTTTTGAATTAGAGGAAAGAACAAAGTTTGATCATTAAAAACATTTTCTCTATATTTGAAACAAACACAAACACGAGAGTTTTAACTCACCATCATCTTCTCCTGAAAGAGAAATAGACAAGATTTCAGAAAATGTTTCACATAGTTCAGATTCTAATCCTCTTTATTTTAATATGGGATTAAAACTTACTGTGTGTTAAACCATTAATAATACCATGAACTTTTGTTAGTGAGGTCATCCAGCAAATGAGACTTCTTAATAAGAATATCAGCCGGAAAGTACAAGATTATCACGTTTTATACAACAAATGTCAGAAAGCAACTAAAAATAATCACAAAGACCATTAGTTTCAATAATTAAGAAACATACAAAGTCCTCCTTTTTTAACCCTCATGTGACGACCCACCCCAAACGCTATTACGGCCATGCTGGAACACTTTTCTCTTAAATTGCTGGTACGTACGTGTACACACACACACACACACACACACACACACACCACCCCCCCAACCCCACCACCCCCTCTTAACCAAAGTACTTCTCGAACTGAAATCAGAGAAACTTTCGCTGCATTTCAGTTTTGGAAAAAGGTTCTATTTTTCCCAAGCTGTTGGTAATTGGTAAGCTAGCTGTGGAAGCCCAGCGTTTGGCTCAGGACAGCGTGAGGACGCCAGGCGGCGCTGCAGCTGCTCATCCGGCAGCGCGGGAGACGGCGTCGCACAAACCCCCAGCAGGAGCCGCCAAAAAAGCCCAGCCTTCTGTCTCCGTCTCTCACATTCTTTTCTCCTCTTCCCTCCCTCCGCCGTCTTCTACATAGCACTCTCCTTCCCACCTCGTCTCTCCAGCAGTCTCACATCTCTAATTTAGCATAATACGGAATCGAGTGTTTCTCAGGACTTGATGGTTTTGTTAAATGAACAATTAAACTTCCTGCTTTAAAAGTGATCCTATTATTCAGCTATAAAGAATGAAATCTTGCTATTTGTGACAACGTGGATGGACCGCGAGGGCATTATGCTAAGTGAAATGTCAGATAGAGGAAGATACATACCATATAGTGGAATCTAAAAACAAAAGAAAGCCAAAAAAACCAAACGCACAGATACAGAGAACAGATGGGTGCTGGCCAGAGGCAGGGGATGGGGGTAGGGGGAGGGGTGGTGAAATAGGGGAAGGTGGTCAAAAGGTAAAAACTTCCAGTTATAAAATAAGTAAGTCTGGGGATGTAATGTACTCATGGCCATTATAGTTAATAATACTTGACAGATGCTAAGAGAGATCTTAAAAGTTCTCATCACAATAAAAACAAATTTGTAACTATGTTTGATGATAGATGTTAACTACTTCACAATACATACGTGTAGCAAATCATTATGTTGTATACCTGACATATAGTTATATGTCTATTATCCTTAAAAAAAAAAAGAAGAAGTAATCATAGGGAAGAACACCTTCCCAACTCCGGCCCACACGCAAAAAGTGGAGGCAGGATGTGGGTGAGGAATCTTTTCTTTTTTCTGTAACCTTTTTACTGTTTCAATTTTTATAAAATCTTGTGTAACAAAAACATTTAAGTTGGAAATGAAAAGTTATAAAGTAAAGAGACAAAGGGTAAGAAGCAGGCACACCTTTCCCATGATGCAATGCCCTTCTCCAGGCAGTGAGAATAAATTTGGGGAAGAAAATCTGCCATATTGTGCAAGAGTGAGCATCTAAGAGCAGTCCATTCACTCCGCCTTTCTAAATCTCTTTGGTTCTCAGAAATGCATCAAGATGCAAACCTTGACCAGGAAATTCAAGTTCTTAAATCGGTCCTGGTCCAAAGAAAACATCGGAATGGCAAGTCAATTACGGGGTTGCCCCAGGGGTCAGCGCCTCATTGAGAACGGGTCGGGTCGAGGATGCACCTGATAGTTTTGTACAATAACCTCCAACTGTCTACATCAACGCTGCCCCTCCGAAATATAATGCCAGCCACGCATGTAGTTTAAATATTCCAGTAAAAAATTCAAAGAAGTATTTTCTAATATCCACATTTTAAGGTATACATGCACCACAATACATGTTAAAGTCATCCTACCAAAACAATAATGGCAAAAAAAGTTTATGCTGCTTCCGTTTTTAAATTTAAATGAACTGAATTAAGTAAAATGTAACATCTGGTTTTGCGCTAGCCACTTTTCAATTGCTCAGTGGCGTGATGTGGCAAGTGGCTGCGATCTTGGACAGTGCGGTTCGGAGTGGTCTGCAGGAACCTAACCTCCTGAAACCGCTCTACATCCTTACAACTCAGAGTGTGGGACACGGGTCAGCACCTGGGGCCCCGCCCGGGACTTTAGGAGAATCCTGGGCCTCACCCAGACCTACAGAATCGGACCTGCATTTTAACAAGGCTCCTCGGTGGACTGTATGCACACCAAGTTGGAGAAGCACACCCTGAATCATTCTCAAACTTGGCCTCGTACTGGAATCATCTGGAGAGTTTAAAAAACACTAACACCTGGGTGTAATCCCAGAGATTCTGGCTTCAATGGTCTGGGATAAGGCTTGGCATCCAGATTTATAAGAGTTCCCCAGAAAACCTCTGATATATATGGACTACTTATATATTCTAATTACTTTTACATAAAGCTCTAGTTTAGGTCCTGGCATGTATCAGGCACTCAACAAAAACACGTAGAAAACATGAGACTTGACTATGATCTGCTCTTATACTTTTGGTCATTCAAATAAAGCAAAATATAAAATAGTTGAAAATTTTCTCAAATTAAGTTTAGTTACATGACATTTTATAAACAATCTCTAAAAGCATAAAAATGTATGAAAAACCCACCTCGGCTGGGTGCCAGAGGATTTAAAGGACGATAAACAGATCGAGGCCTGGAAAAAAAAAAGCACGAAACTGAAATATAACATGGTTTGAGTTTGTTATGTAATTTTTTCTCCAACAGAAACAAATGGTCTCCTCTCTCCGCCCTCCAGTCACCCTCCTCCCGCCCCCCGCCCCCAGTTACTTGAAACAGTTTTCTTCGTAGATGCTGTTCCACACTCTCCACGCGGACGGCCCTTTGTAGCCGGTGTAACGCTCTGGGTTCAGCAACAGGTCCACGTACTGGGCAGCTGGAGACCTCTCATCTGCATGAGAAAATCCATAATTATAACCATCCCTAGTTCACCATTTATCTGGGGTTTAGTGTTACAAAGCAGAGGACTACCGAAAGCTTTCAGAAATGCTACGCTTTTCAAGTCCTCTCCAACTGGAATGGCGGAGTGGTGAGCACACTTGTGACTGTACTTGACCTGAGACTTGTACGAACTTGGACTTGATGGAGGAAAACCTCCTCCTCCCTGTCCTCTGGACACTCGGTGCTCTGAGGTCAGGCTACAGTTCTCACCTTATTAGAGGCTTCATCGTTTCTTCAGTTTTTCTGCCAGGACTAAAAAGACCTAACAGAATCATCCCCTGTCTTAACATTTGATTTGTTTTCTCCTCATATATGGCCCTAAACACATGCTTGGAAACACTTGTATTGTTAGCATGTACTGTGTTAAAAATAGACATTTTCCTGCTACTCTCTACTTTGACTTATGAAGTAAATGGCTCAATAACTTTGATTCCAAATTGATCATAGACTTACATAACGGTCTAGTTGAAAAAAGTTATTAATTTATTTTTGCCAATGTTCACACACTGAAGTGCTTTTTTCCCTCTCTAATCAATACAGGCAAATTTCAAGAACTTAAGACATTTAAAATTAAATAACCATTTTCCGTGTTGAGACCTACATGAGTATTTACTAGATCTCCACTATCTGGACGACATTTTAATAGAGAGCTCTACGGGATCCAAAAGATAAAGAAAAACGGTCTTCGTCACTGAGGTGTGCATTCCAGGTAGGAAGGGAAACACGTGTCACATCCGGAAGAAAACCACAGTGCCCGTGCCCACGAATGTGGGGTCGTGATGCGGATTAGCTGAAGCGCTACATATGTCGGCACAGACGTATTCCTTTATTTATACGCTTCCTGCCTTTTGGTGTCATAAGATTAAGTCAATAGGACACAGGCACCTGCCTTAAAATAGTGGCTAAATACGGTCCCTCTTCTCCTCATTACCTGAGAATATACCTTCCTGTCAGCCAACGATATTCGCTGGCCATTCAACGACCGCAGCCTAGGACTATCCACGATAATAAGGGCACGTGGCACGCGGACCCGTGCCTGTCAAGTACTTGTACTTCTGTGACCCAGGAAGAGCACGAGGGTCGTTACGACTCGGCATTACTAAACGAGCCGCATCCATCACAGACAATGGGAGCGTGAGTTTGGAAAAACGCTGGCTCTATTTCTGGCATTGACAGAACTTAGATATTTCACTCTACAAAAGTCAAGTCACATAAAACAGTTAATTCACAGATGGAGAAATGGAAACCGTCCAATAGATTAATTTAGGACTTAAAAACAATTTACTTTTTAAAATATTAATTTAAAAATATTCAAATTATTAAGTTAATAAAAGTATGGCTTTTAGAGTAAAATTCCAACAAAAGTTCTACAATTCACTAGTTTCTGTTATATATTTTTAATTTCCTTGAGCTGTTCTTGGTTAAATTCATTTGCAAAATTGGTTAAATTATGTATGTGAGCTTTACAAATATTAAGCACCCAAACGTATATTTACTGACACGTATAGGTACACGCGTATGAGAACGTGCGTGTGCATGTCAGCCTACACATCGTTGATTCGACTAGTAGCATCCTGTTCACCCAACAAGCAACTAAACCGATAAAGAAAAACAGCTGGATTCAGATATTAAAGTTTTCTGATTTAAAATATATTTTGAGGGAGTAGAAAATCACAAGAGTAAAATCAATTACATCAATTTTTAATTACTTTCTTAAGTAAAACTTACATTCTCAATGTTCTCAATGTGTATTCCCTTAATTCATTCAAAAGTTGTTTAATAATTTTTTAATGCTTTTTCAAATCCTGAAAAAGGTGGGCGTTGTTACCCTACAGGAGGGGTTAGGGAACTGGCCCGTGGACCCGTTTGCCGGGCATTTCTGTAAGGACTTTGCTTTCGCGTGCTCTCACACTGCCATGGCAGAGCGGAGTAGCTGCAACACAGACGACACGGTTCATAAAGCCTGAAACAGTCACTATCTGTCCATTTACAGAAGAGACAAGGGTTTCATCACACCCAGAGTGAGGAATGAGTGTGGGACAAAGCCGCCTATGCGCACACCAGGGCTGGCGCCCATCCTCGCCTCTGGGGACACCTGTGACGTGATTTGAGCTGATCTGTTCCTAAACTATAACTTACTTCCGTTAGTACAGCTACGGCATTCATGCGACACATTCTCTTTGGATCCCTGCTGTGTCCTCCTCGCAAAGCTCTCTCCCCCTCTATGAAGCTGCTGCGAAGCTGATCTCTCTACTGACTGTGCCAACCATCACCCAGGGATTCGAGGAATGTCCACTGAATCGAAACACCTAATTCTGGGAATTCGTCAACCTGAACTATGTGTTTCCAAACCTTCTCAAGCACATCTTTTCTCCCCACTGAGTTTTCTCGCCAGTCTCCTCACTTAGTAGGGACGTCACGAGGCTGCCCCGCATCTCATTTTCCAGGACGCCAGACACCCCGTCCCGCCTCCTAACCCAAATCTCTTATAATGGGAGCGCAGGCCAGCTTCGTGTGCGGGCTTTTTGCTTATGGACACAGGGACACAGATCAAAAATATTGGGATACAGACTCAGGAGCGAGCCCACAACCCCCCATCACCAACTCTATCCCCAGCTGCCACAGCCCACTGTCAGAACATGAATCACTCGGTAGGTTAAAACGCTCCCGCGTAATCATGAAGCACAGGTAGATTTAGAAACTACTTTAAACAATACTTTTAATTAATCAACATGTTTTAAAATATAAAAGTAAAAATCTATCACACTACATAGGTCAATTATGAACCAATGACTTCATTCGGCAATGGTTTATGGTGCGTGCACCACGTCCAGGCACTGTCCTAGGCGCTGGGGACACAGAATTGACCCAAAAGGATAAGGCCCTTGCCCTCAAGTGGCTCAGTCTAGTTGGGGGTAACGGATGATGACCGTAAAACTAAATAACACACAGGCGCTCACAGGGCGGCCCCGGTGCCCTGGGAGAGCAGGCAGCAGCGCAGGGCCATGCGGTCACTATTTTATTCAGGGAGTGACAGCGGGCGTTGGTGGGGTGACATTTGAGCAGAAACCTGAAGCAAAGGGAGAAGCTAGCCATGCATAAAGACAATAACAACAAAAAGCGAGAGGGTAGCAAGGGCAGCCTACCCCAAACGGCTATTATTTAAAAACTTACTAATTGATCTGTAGGGATCTACAGGGATCCCTAGCCTGGATTAACAGCACAAATCTATAGAGATCATCCTCCTTTCAAATAACGACAGGACCAACAACAAAACGGCAGAGAGCAGTGTGTGTAGATAGATCCCAATAAACCGGGGCGAACTCTTTAGATTTTGTTTTAATCTGATAATTTTAGATAACTGCAACATCAACTAAAAAATGACCCTTAGCCACTCTGAGTGTTTCTGAAAACTGCAGGCCTTGATCATTGGGGCACTCGCAAACGTCACTGCCTGGATGTGGCAATCCGACTAGCAGCATGGTTTTCTGTTTAAAAACTACATAAAATATAAAAGTTACTAATTGCTGCACTTATGTAACCCTAAAAATCTTAAACGATGCTTTTACTTACATTCTTATAGGACATCTCTTCCACTTTTACGATTTAAGAAGCTAATGTTAAAAAATTAGTTAGCACAACTAATGATGATGGAGCACGTCAACTCAATCATAGCAAGTGACCCCCGAGTAGTATGAAATACCTACAGAGAAATACGTTCACGCTATTTACTGTAAGAGAAATATATAGTCGCAGAAATGATTTTTAATCTGAAAACCTGTTAAACAAGGACTACTGAATTTTTTTTTTGTTTGAATCAAAGAATAGTTAAAATGAGAAGTTGGAAAGAAGTGACTATGAGTGTTAAACACTCAAATATAATTAGAATAACCAAAGGCAAATGAAAGCATAAGCGGTGACATGCACACTCCACCTGGATACAATGGCTTATGCTGATTAAACCTCTGACAATTCTAAATATTGTAACAGGGGTATTTATGAATTGCCCAGATACCCAAAGAAACTTTGCTCAGATTTCTTAAAATTTCCCCGCTGAAACCATATCAACCGTGGTAATAACATTCCATCCCGCATCTTCTCTATTTACTAGACTTCTGTGGAAGCTCCCTGTCGACTGCTTCACCGTAGCCTGGATTAACAGCACAATTCTACACGAGTCTTTTAAAAACCTTTAGGGAGCAGTACGACCACTCCAGATGTTTTGAAAGTTCAGAAGAAGGTCTGCTCTGTTTCCAACTATGCGTGCTTGACCCCAAAATTCTCTTCCACCACCAAAAATATAATGACACCAAGGTACAACGTAAAAACAGAGGCCGAATGATTTACGTCTACGCACACAATTCTTGGGAATATTCTATAGATAAGAAAACTGTGAGTCACCTAAATTATCTTCTGTTAAGAGAAGTGGCAGTTACTGTTGGACAGTGCCCTGTCTTTGTATCATTCCAGGGAATTCTTGGAAAGAGAGCCGTGGGGAAGTCAAATTAGAGTCTTCCCCAGTACTGGAAGGTGTCTGTGCCCGTCCATTGAGAGCCATGGGGAAGTCTTCCCCAGTACTGGAAGGTGTCTGTGCCCATCTGTTGAGACCTCCAACAAATGCTATTGTGAACATTTTATATGTTCACAGGCCTGTAACCACGTGGCTTGAACTGGAGGTCCGTAGGAGACAGTGTGTCATAATGTGAAGAACACAGATTTTAGATTCAGACAGATTTGAGACTGAATCCTGTCTCAGCCTCTTGCCCTTGTGGGACTTGGCAAGTTACTTAGTCTTTCTGAGACCCATCTTCCTCGGATATGAAATAAACAGACTTAACATGGTAGCTGTAAAGGTGAGAAATAAGGTACTTAAGGCACTTAGCACAGGGCTTAGAACACAGGCTCTCAATAAATGTCATTATGAATGATAAGATCCACACAGCAACATCCAGTACATTACAGCTATAACTCTGTTGATATTTTCATTGATTTCACGTCTTATAAAAGAGTTAAAATTAAAATAATTTAATTACAATAGTTGACTTTATTACCGTCAAGTTCACAAAAGTGATCCTGTGAATCGTCATATCTTGCCCAGTCGATGAAAGCTTCTTTGCTTTGATTACTATGGGAAGGAGGGATAAAAAAGAAACTGATTAAATTTGGAGTTGAAAATTTTAACACTGTATCCTCATGTAATTACAAATAGATAATCTGAGGTCACTTCTTTATCAATTAGATGGTGTCGCAAATTCAGTTAGAGGTTACATGAAGGAATGATGAAAACAAGATATCTGAAAAATAGATATTAACTTTCATGAGTGATTTATATTTCTTAACTATATTAAAACTATTATTAGCCTTAGTTCAATAATAATTACTTTGACAAGGAAAGTAACTTACAAATATACATAAGATGTAGTTAAACACAAAATTCAAGCTGGCCTTTTCGAGTGACTTAGAAACTAACGAATATTTATTATTTTTTCCTAAAGTGGGAATTAAATTTACTTTCATAATTCTTTTACAATAAATTGCTTCTGGGCTTACAGGACCCAAAATACCAAGAACTGCATTTCTAGAATCAACCATCAATGTGGTATTCACTGGCAACACCGAGGTCACTTTTATCATGGTACATCATTTTTACAGGCTACCTCACAACTTATAAAATCTATGATCGAGAAATCTGACTTGAAAAACCGATAAAGGAACTACATTCATTTAAATAAACTTTGACCTACATTCACTTTAAACTATATTCTCTGTCTCGAGACCTTCTCTGTCTCAAACACGTGAAGGCAGCATCTGTAAGAGAATTATTACTACGCTTCCTTATTCGCTACACAAAAGGAAAAAACAAGGTAAAAAAAATTGTTTGTGCACCAAGTATAAGTGACTAATTCCTAAACGCAGTGCCATCACAGCCAATTTATTTTGTATTTGAGAAACTGCTGAATGACATAAGGTGGGCTGTACCACATACACTTTATTAATAAATTTTTCCAATTCAATTTACTGTGGGATTTTTTTCCCCATGGGAATATGTAATAATAAAAGTTAACAGAAAGATCTCTGTGGTGCCAGAAAACAAGAGTGCCTGACTTCTAATTATAGCTACAATAACTATAGTTATGTTTAATCAGACAATCTTCTGTTGAAAATTGTAAAGAACAAAGCAATTCTGACATAATTTCTTATTTCCTTGTTGGCAACATGACTAACTTGGAGGAACTTTTTTCTTTGAGCATCCTTATTTGATGCAATTTTGCTGACTGTTGCATCTAACCCCTGCCCGAAGCCATGGTAGTAGAAAAGATCTGGAATGCTTATCTAAGACTAATAGAACTGGCCCAGTTTGGCTTGTAAACGAGTTAGAAGGAATCTCAGAGATCACCTAGACCAGTTTTTCCAAAAGACAGTCTGAAGACAGATGCCAAGCTACTTAATTTCCTGAGCTTAACCCCAGGCTACCTGTCGAGATGTTGCTGTAAGTAAAGCAGCAGCCTTTGAAATGCCAAACACAGGAACGGGGAGAGATGAGATGGAGGGATTTCAAAGGGGCATGAGAAAACTTTTGGGGGTGACAGATATGACAGCTGTCCTGATTGTGCTGACTTTCGTGGAGTGTATACATCAAAACATTAAACTGCACATTCTGAATGGGTACAGTGTATTGCGTGTCGATTATATGTCAACGAAGCTGTTTGTGAATTACAGCAGCCACGGAGGGATAAAAAAGAAAATGATTAAATTTGAAGAAGCCGTGGAATGAGGAACGCTTGTCCTCTACTAGTGGCAACATCTCCTGGGAGTCATTTTGGAAGAACACTTGGCAGTATTTAATTCCACTCCTAGGTATCTTCTCCATAGAAATTTATACCAAATGCACCACCAAGTGTCCTCCAAAACATTTCTGGAAATGGCCTCGAAGCGGAAAACAGAAGGAGACATTATGGTGTAGTCTTGCTCTGGAATACTATATATCAATTAAAAAGAATTAAATGCTACTAGCTCAAGAACATGAATGAATTTCACAGACATGACACTGAATGAGAGAGGCAAGGTACAGACCTCCCTCTGGTCAAGACGGCGGAGTAGGTAAACGCTGTGCTGGTCCCCTCTCGTGACCACGTCAAAATTACAACTAAACTACACAACAACCACCACTGAGCACCATCTGAAGGTTAGCTGAACAGAAGTCCTATAACTAAGGACATACAGAAGAGGCGACGTTGAGACTTAAAATACAAAAAAAAAATTTTGTAAAAGAGGTCAGATACAGAAGAATACATTCTGTACTATTCCATTTATATAAATAAGCAAAACTAATCTGTTAACATAACTGAAAATCATAGTGAATTCTGGAGCATGGTAGTGACTACGAAAGGAATCCTGGCCACCTTCTGGTCGGCGAGTGTATTGTTCTAGACGGTGGCTACAGAGTTGGGTTTGCTTTGTAAAATTAAATTGACCTTTACACTTAAGATTTGTGCACTTTATTATATGTGTATTATACTTAAAATTTAAAGTTGAAAAAATTAATAACTTCTGTTAAGCGACAAAGAAAACTACAAGCAAAATTAAAAGACGAGCCCTAAGAACCCAGACGGCCGACATAGAACTATCGGATTATACGAAGAATGCCTACAAATTAATATAATTAAAAATGCAACCCCCAACAGAGAAACAATAGCAAAGAACATGAGCAGGCAATTTACCCCCCAAATCTTGTAACGACTGAAGGCCCAGTCCCTGCATCATTTCTCTATTTTACACCCTCTCCTTGATAATCTCATTCAGTTAACGGTTTCTAAACGCTATATATTCTTTGAATGACTCCCACATTTTATCGCCAGCCCGGACCTCTCCCCCGAAACTGAGACTTGTATATCCAACTGCCCGCTCACCTTCTCTAACTGGGTGTTTCATAGGCAGCTCAAACTTAAGTCCAAGGCTGAACTATAACTTCCTGTCAAACCTGATCCTCCTACAGATGTCCCCAGTTCAGTAAATGGCAACTCTGTTTTTCTAGATGCAAATCTTGTGGTCATTCACAGCTCATGTCTTTTTTATACCCTTTTTGGCAAGGATGTGGAGAACAGAACAAGTTCGCGGCGCCGGAGGCAGAATCGTCCACACAAGTACTCTGGAAAGGCACTAGGCAATATCAAGAAGAGTTCTAAGCGGGTCGCCCTAAGATTCAGCGATTTTACTTCTGGCGTACACCAAAAAAAATTAAAAATAAATAAATAAATAAATGATGCTCAAGGTAGCACAATTTATAGAAGTGAAAATGTGAAACAACCTAATTGTCCATCAATAGGAATACAGATATGTAAAGATGGCATATTTATATGAAAAGCATTCACCAACTAAAAGAATGAGACACATTATATTTTAACGTGGATAGATCTAGAAAACAAAATGTGCAGAGTCAAAAGAAAGTTGCAGCATGTCAAACACAGTGTGATCTCACGTGAAGGAAAAATGAAATCATATACACAGATCTATACACATATATGTAATTTAAAAAGTATAGACTGGACATACATCAAATTCATGACAGTAGTTAGCCCTCAGAAGGAAGGAAAGAAAACAGGATTGAGGAACAGAACATGGCAGGTTTAAAGTTATCTTTGATATTTCCCTTTTTTAAAAAACGATTGCCAAGAGGTAGAAAATGTTAACATTTATTCATTTGGAGTGGAGGATATACGGGTGTTCATAATATTCTTTTTATTTTTCTATATTAAAATGTTTCTTCAATGAGATAAATAAAACTGCTAACTTTATTAAGTCTATAACAATGATAGTACCTGAATACAAATCTAAACAAACATGGAAAGTAAGAAGAACTTCTGTAATATTCCATTCCCCACTCGCAACTATAGATATGTTCAGTCACTTTATATTGCATAATGAGACCACTTACAAATTATTTATGTTGGTCTTCGAAAGCAAGTTTGTACTTAGAACAAATCAGGAAATCAAAAGAAATTTACTATTAATGGTTATGTTAATAGTAAAACTTTTATCATTCAAAATCTAACATATAGATTGAATTACTATTTGTAAAAGACTTACTGGTTCAAGTTCCTTTTCCCATAAAAATCAGGAAGAATAGACCCATAAGCCCTGATAAATGTTTACTCTTCTAAATGTTTACTCTTTAATAGAGTCACTATTGATGATTTAGAAATTTAAGAATAAATTTAGCCAAGAAGAGGAAGCAAAGCTATGATGAAATTCAGGATAAAGAGTCACTTCTTCTTTTTAAAAATTAGTTGAAACTTCAATGTTTTAAAATCACAAGAAAAAAACACATTTTGGAGATTTCTGATATAAACAAGAGAATATTTTTTAAATACTACTAAACATAACTTACCTTAATGTGCTGTTAATTGCTCCCAGTTTATTAGCTTGCTCACAATCCTCTAATTCTTTGGTATTGTTTGCCACTTTCATGTACTGAAAGGAAGTTCAAAATAAACAAGTTTAGTAATAATCATTACCTTCCTCTTTATCTCAGGCTCAACTGGCAGAACAGTAAATCTGCCAATGCTTATACACACTAAATAGAGATACATCCTATTACCGAAGTCCCTAACATACGTAAGAAAGAGAAATGAAATGAGTCACAAATTTCTACCTAATGAAGAAGCGAAGATATTAAAAACATAACAATCAGCATTGCTGGTGATGATGTAAACCCTCTCGGGAACGTAATGTGACATTTATCTAGAACTGCAGAAATGCATAAGCCAGCAGTCCCACTACTGAAACTATATCCAGAGCAACGTTTAAAACGAAAACGAGGTACAACCACTTTAGAAAGCACTACCTTGTGATGCTGAGACGGGCGTACCCTATGGCCCAGCAATCTTATTTCTGCCTAGAGACCCAGAGAAACTCATGTGTGCACGAAAGACAAGATGCTGCTGCATCACTGTCTGTAACAGCAAAAAGCTGAAAACGACTGATATGTCGACCAATAGGGGAATGGCTATTTCGCAATACAGTCATATAATTGATTATTACACAGCTGTTAGAACAAAATCTATGTAGATCGATAGAGACAAAATTTCAAAAGCATAATACTCAATAAAAATACAAACTGAAAAAATGTTTTTAACCTAAAGAAATAAAAAATATATATTATTGAAAAGTTTCGGAATTTCATATAAAAGATTTATAGATACTTGTGGATAAATGCACGCTACAGTATAAAAATAAAAAGTATCACAGAAAGATACTCAGACTTCCGAAAACTAGCTCTGGGAGGGAGGAAACAGAATGGGATTGGGAAGAGGTCAGGAAGAGACTCTAACTGTCCCACGCTGTTTGTTTATGTACTTTAGCTCTGAAACACACACGCATTAAAGAGTGAGCACGAACAGAAGGCCAGGGCGGGGAGAGAGCAGCAGAACGCGGGGAGAGGATGCGCGTGGAAAAGAGGGACAAAGTAAATCGTGGCACGCGCAGAGGAGAAGAAGGATCACCTATAACAAATACATTGATTCCATTTACAAGTACGATGCTCTTGTAATGTCTTGATGACTGTTTACACAATATAGTCCTGAATATGACAGGTTCGCTCACTGAAGGACAAAAACACACGTGCACGATAAAATGCCAGCCGAGGAGGCCGACTGACACGTTACCCTCTGCAGTTCTTCTGGAGCTTCCAAACACAGAGCTGAAGCATTTCGAAACAAGCTATATAATTTTAATCGTAAGACTGCACAGCTTCTCTGCTGGCTGCAAGAATTAGGAATTTGGGATTTTAAGGCAGATGTGGCCACCCCCAGCTAAGCACAGTCCAGAGGGGCGGTCTCTTCCACAACCAGCGCCACAGCAAGTGGTGGGTTTGGGCACGTGAAGCAGAGTGTGTCCAGGAGGAGGAGGGACTCACCTTGTTAGACCTCCCGGCTTTAATTCCCACTGGAATTTTGCTCTTAAAAGAACAAACAACAATAACGTTAAAAGCAATCCTTTTTTGAGATTTCTTCACAAATTAATAATGCTATTGCTCTAATACAAAGACTGTTTTATTCTATGAGGAGAAAAATACACATTGGTTCAAATTCTGTTTTCATATTACCTCTTTGCAGTAAAAAGTAGGTAGAATTGTACCAATGTACAGATTTGTAAATCATAGGATAGAAAGCTGAATGATATACAAAATCAGAGCATCAAAGTCAGCTCTAATTTAAACTCTCTATGCAGTATTTAAGTTCATGTAATTTTAAGGTTTTAAAAAAAATGACAATCGCTTTTTCCATAAACTTTCTTACCACAGAGATAAAAATTTTAAAGTTTTCAAAATTATTTGAAATATGTCATGCTGGATTTTAATTTCTACTCTAAACCGACGTTTAAAGTTTAGGCAATTTTGGATTAATAGTAGAAGGTAAGAATATGATTTACCTAGGGTTTACCAGTAGAAGAACTGCATATAGGTCCAATTTTCTTTTCTTCGAAGCTAATAATTACTTTTAGGCTTTAACAAACAAATTTATGAATTATACCTGGTTTATCAAAAACAATTTTGAACAAAAATCATATCTGAAACCAATCATAGATCGATCCTCTGATCAATCCAGGGGACTGATTTCCGACATTTGAATCTATGAGTTATCAAATTAATAGCCAGTTAACTACTAAAAAATTTTCATGTTTCATAAATTTTAACCAAATATTCAGAATATTTTCCTTTCAGGTTAAAGAATGTAAATAATAATTATGATAAGAGATTTTTTTGTAACCAAGAAAAAGACCACATAGATAGAAATGTTACTTGCGGCCAGAAATTATTTCAGTGTTTCCTAGAACCTCTTTAACACTGCCAGAAGACAGAAAACTGTACAATTCAAGTCAAATCTAGCACTCACAGTTATAAGATCGTGAATATAAAACATGGAATAAATACTAACCAACAAAAGCACTCTGACTCCTGTAAGTCCTCTAAATAGTAGAGCATAATATGCTAAAATCAAAATCTTTAGCAGCTTTTTAAAAAATCTGATGCCCAATGCAATAACTTGTCTTAAATCTTAACAGAGGCCATTCAGAAACATGGGGGTAGGTACCATAGACGATCGTCATGAATAATGTATAAAAATCACAAAAAGAATTATTTAAATTATAAAGTTAATAACTAAAATCAAGCATGAAATAAACCTGGTTGTTGCCATTAACACAAGCAATACGAAGCAGTCTGAAAATTACAGAATTAAGTGACCCCTCATGATTAAATTAGACTTCAAATTACAGAATGCAAACTTTAACTCTGTGTTATGACAAGTTTGAGTTCAACATGAAATGCCTACTGAATTTTCCCCCAAAGAGAGAAAAATAAAAATATCCTCACATCACTTAAAAGGATGATTTTTATCTCTAGGGAAAAAGAGAAGGGAACGGGGATTGGAAAGGGAATAGACAGGAATTTTTAAATGCATAGATATGTTATATTTCTTATGTTCACGATTCATATACAAATAAATACTTTCATTTATTCTTATTAGAAACTTCAGACTAAAGAAGATAATCTGCTGTCAATAAATAACACTATTTTAACGTAAAAACAATTTAGAAATACATACTGTGCGAAGCAAAATAACTCTTAGAACTCAGCAATAAAAAGGCAACTCAATTTAAAAATCGGCAAGATTTAAATAGACTTTTCTCCAAAGAAGAAAAATTGGCCAGTGAAAAGATGCTCAACGTTATTGGCCATCAGGGAAATGCATTCGCAAGGACGGCTAAAATAAGACGATAACAAGTGTTGACAAGTATGTACAGAAGCTAGAACTGTCACACGGGCGGGAGGGAACGTAAACTGTACAGCCACACCGGAAACAGTCTGGCAGGTCCTCAGACAGTTAGTTACTCCAGGACCCAGCAATTCCGGTCCAGGATATACGCATGAGAGAACTGAAAACAGATGTCCACGCGAAAACTTATACTTGAGTGTCCACAGCAGGTATAAATAAGTGTCCACAGCCACAGTGACCCAAAAGAGGAAACATCCCAAACGCCCACCAAGTGACGACTAACAAGCCGAGGCGTACCCACAGCACAGTGTCATTCGGCAACCGGAATGAAGCACTGATACAGGGTGCAGTGTGATGAACCCTGAGGACGCTGCGAGAAGCAAAAGAAGCCAGTCACAGGAGACCGCATGTGATGGGATTCTATTTACGTGAAACGTCCGTAACTGGCAAAGCCATGGAGAAAGATACGGGGTTCGTGTTTCCAGGAGAAGGGGGAACGGGGAGTGACTGCCAATGGCGGGGGTGTGAAATGCTTTAAAATTACTTGGCGATGGCTGCGTAATTCTGTGAATGTACTAAAAACCACTGAATTGTACACTTTAGAAAGAGTGAATTTTAGAGTATGGAAATTATGTCTTGGTAAAGCCGTTATAAAAAATATTGAAAATAATTCAAGTTCATACTGACATAAACATACAATAAGGAAATAAAGAAAAATCTCCTGCTTACAGTAGAATGCCAACTAATAAATGCAGAAGAAATGGAATCGGAAAATCACTATTGGCAAACATTATGATAATTCAGGCAGGAATCATCGACGGAAGCTAAAATTACGATGGTAAAAGTATGATGAAAAATGGGACATTTTCATAGTCTCGAAGATTTTTCCTACTTTCCGGTGAAAAAATGTGGCAACTGCCACCTTAACTAAGTGATGAAGATGACGTCATGTGCTTCCTAATACGACCGGCAGAGAAGGACACAAGGACACAACCATCATTTCTACGGTGTATACCTGCGCACGGCCTGAATCTAACAGGAAACGTCAGAAAAAAACTCAAATTAGGGGTATTCTACAAAATAACTGGAGTACTGGAAAGAAGGAAGGAAGGAAGGAAAGGAGGGAGGGAGGGGAAAAAAGACAAGACATTGAAAGACAAGGAACTACTGGGGGACTATTCCGGATTAAAAAGATGAAAGATACACGGCACCCAAATGCTACGAACAAATCGGAATCAGAAACTTTTTTTTTTTTTGCTATAAACACATTCTTAAGTCAGTTGGCAAAACGTGGTTAAGGTCCACAGATAACACTGACGTTAACTTCCTGATTGTTAATTATGCTGTGATCAGGTAAGAGAAGAATCTTGTTTTTAAAGAAATACACACCGAAGTATCTAGGGGTCAGGAATCATCATGTTGGTAACTTACACCTAAATGATTCAGGATGTAATAATATGAATACATACACACATATAAAGGATAATAAAGCAAATGTGATTAACATTTAGGAAATCTGGATAAAAAATATCTGGGAATTATTTGTACTATTCTTCCAACTTTTCTACAGGTCTGACATTATTTCAAACTAAAAAATTAAAAAACATATTACATTCTTAAAGGAAAATGATCAATTCTTTTCCCGTTAGGAAGGACATTTGTTCAGATGTCTTTTCATATCTTTAAGGACAACAAACTAGACTAATTGGTTAGATAAGAAAAGCAAAAAGTAAAATGAAAACATAGCTTAAAACTAATTACTGTTGAAGAATAAATTTAATTATAGCAGATATCAAAAAATAAAGTCTAAAATGTAGCATTCCCTTATTAAAGACAAGACCAAGTGAAGGCCTAACGCCAAGGCCTTTCCCCACTTTATACACTTTAATTCCCACTTTAAACTTGAAATTTAAAGTGTAGCAGCATTTTTTTTTTTTTATGAAACAAGATGCAGATTCGATCAAGCATGAAATGAGAGTCGGCCAACTGCAGAGCTGCTTCTAGAACAAGCCTCTGGTTTTAAACGTGTCTTACCTCTGGACAGGGCTCCACGTGACAGTCTTTTATTGAACAATGGCCATCTTCTGCCCAGAAAGGACACGGTCGCTTCAGGTTAACCTTGAGAGAAAGAGTGAATTGACATGAGCAAACGCGTGTCACAGCTCTGCGGTGCTCTCTTCAGCGTCCCTGTGCTGGGCACCAGGGACGTGGTGGCGCATGAGGAGAAGCTCCTGTTGGTTCGGAATTTCAAATGACTGCAGTTCTCAGACAACTGGAGAGAATATTCATTTTTAAAAATAAATGACACTATCAGTCCTCTGACACTTCAAAAGTGGGATGGAGTCCAGTGTGCAGCTCATCCGAAGGAGCCGGAAAGCATTTTCCCACGCACTTCACGGGCTTTCAGACTCCACTCACGAACCCTCCACAGCCCATTCACCCAGCGGCCCATTCACCTAAGGGCCCCTTCGCCCACCCAGCGGCCCGGCTGGGGCCCAGGCAGGGCCGGGTGCCCTGCACCAGGGAAGAGGCAGAAGCAGCACTTGCCCCCTGGAACTCAGCCTACTGCAGGGAACGGAAATGAGATACTCGTATGTTTATTTAATAACAAGTTGTGGTTGCCTGCCAACTACCGAGGAAAATCACGAGTTTTGTGATGGAGAACGAGGGGGCTGGTGGCTGGAGGCCTTGGAGGAGGCATTACATTTGGGTGAGGTGACAGAGCTTAGACAGTTCTGGGAACTGGAAAATGACAGTTTCGCTGACTTTTAGTGGGGAAGGGAAGAGGGGCAGGGAACAAGATTAGGGACAGGCAGGGGACAGATTGTGCAGGGCATTTCGGGCACTGTAAAAATTCTGAATGCCGTATTCTGAACACGATGGGAAGACAGGTCTTCGACAGGACTTCCGGAGGGAGCGCCCAAGTGAAGATCAGTTTTGTTCTCGAACAGTTCGTTATCCACGTCTCTCCGCTGACATTGCTGCCTAGATCAGAGCGAGTCTCCTGCTTCCGGCACCATCTATTTCCAGCCATAACCATCTCGGTGAAACATAATTCGGATTATATCAATCCCTGCTCAAAACCTTGCCCTGACTTCCCATCACCTTAGAGTGAATCGGAACTCTGCAGCCAGCTCCGCCTGGCCCTCTGTCACCCGGCTGCTGCCCACCTCTCTGACCTCGTCCCCTGCCACGCGTGTCCTGCTGCGTGGCAGGCCTTCCTGGGGGCACACGCCTCACTCCTTTCTGTCCCGGCCTTCAAAGAGGCTGCTCTCTGCCTGCACTGCGGCTCCTCCAGGTCTTTCTACGCTCACTCCCTTCACCCCCTCCCTTCGCCCCAAGCAGCTCTCCCAGGGGACATTCGCAGGCGCCTCGGACTTATCAACATACCCCAAACTGTGCTCTTCCCTCTAGGGATTTCTGACATCTCAGTAAACAGCAACTCCGTTATTCCAGATCCTCAGGCCCACATCTTGGCTTCATCCCTAATTCTTCCTTCTCGCTCCACAGATAACCCCTCTGAAAATCAGGTCAGTTCGAAATCCAAGAGAATGGCTCACACGGTCTGGCTCCCTGCTCTCTGCCTTTGCGCGCTGTCTCCTTGTTCCTCAAATACCCGAGGCGCCCTGTGGCCTCAGGGCCTTTGCTCCTGCTGTTCCCTCCGCCTGAATGCTCTCTCTCTCCAAAAATCCACAAGGCTTGCTTCCTCACTCCCTTGAGGTTTTCCTCAGATGCCACCTTCTCAGTTTGCTGATTTAAGTTGCTAAATTTCAGGCTCTTCCATCGTGCAGCAATCGGTAACGAATACACGGTGGAGGACACTACACGTAGCTCGCATGGCCCTCACGGATAAAAGGCTTCTGCAAGTGCTGCAGGCAGCCGACCTCGGCTGATGAGAGACACTTTGTCCAAGGTCACCTCGCCCCTTCCTGTGACAGCCCGTGTCCAATGACTAGTGTAAGGATATAACGGCCTAGACCTCTGCCTCAAGTGGTGACAGCTCTGGAGGGTCATCCGATCTTAAGAACTCCCCAAAGGGTGACCGAGGTCTGCACTGAGGCCACGTCACAGCTTTACTTCCCTGTCTCCCCATCCTGACCTCCTCCCTTCTGTTCCCTTCCCTAACTTGTCGGTTCCAAAAGTCCCTAACTGACCTCTTGCACACCACTGTCTCAGAGTTGGCTTCCCAGGGGACTTAACTTATGACAACTTGTCCAGCTCCAGAAAAAAAACGACGGGTATTTTTATTAGGATCACACTAAATTTATATACTAGCTTGGGGAGAATTAACATCTTTATACTACAAAGACACCTGTCCATTGTTCAAGTCTGTTTTTGTGTTTTTTACGAGTGTTGTGAAGTCTTCTTCCTTTGTACATTTCTTAATATATTTATTCCTATATATTTTACCTTTTTTCATTGTTAGTGTAAATACGGACTTATCATCCGCTACACCTTCTAACTTGCTATTGCTTATAATTATGAAGATATTGATTTTATTAAGTGTGTAGCCTGCTATCTTAATGCATTTTTTATTGTTTGTGTTCATTTTATTATTTCCTCTCAATTTTCTAGGTATACTTTTGTCATTTATAAGTGAAGATACTTTTACTTACTCTAAAATTTTTGGTCTCTAGTTGGTTCTTCTTGTTTGATTATCTGGCTAATACCGCCACCGGGGACGGCGACAGTGTGTACCTTCGTCTCGGTCCCCAGCCTAAGTGAGGATCCCCGTAGCACTTCCCCTCAAGACACTGGCGATACTGGCGTTAGGACTGAAATTATCAAGGCAAGGAAGTACCCGTCATTTTCATTTTATTGAATTTTTTAAAAATCAGGAATGAGTTGAATTTTGTTAAAAACCCCATCCTTGCATTCTTAGAATAAAATCCACTTGGTCATTTGGTCATGGTACACTTTTTGGTAATGTGCTCAAAACGCAGGCACCATCCTCACGCCCTGCGTGCAGTCCATAAGGAGAGCTGGCTGCTGTTACTTTTTACATATGACACTGTGCTGATCGTTTCCCAGCTCTACTGTCCTAGGCCGAGTCCACATCCTCTCACCTGGAGCACCACGACAGCCTCCCAATGGCTCGTCACACTCAGGATAAAAGCCAACTCCTTGCGTGTTTAACGTGGCCTCTAACTTGTTTCTCTGGCCCCCTCTGTGCCTCTCCAGCTCTCCCAGTCCCTCGCCGTCCTCCGTCACACCAGCCGTCTGCGTCCTCAAACGCTCTACACCTTTCTACGTGCAATGGAGACCTTTATACCCGCCATTCTACTCCCCTTCCCTGGGACGTTCCTCCCCCAGACAGTCATGACTTACTCTTTCACACTAGGAACGTCTCTGCTCAGATGGCACGGCGGGAATACCTTCCTTTCCCGAGCGACTTCTCGAAAACAGGGCTGCCTGCCTTCCACACCCCATTACTCTCTATCTCCTACTTTTTCATATGGGTATAGCACTTACGACCATATGAAATTATATTTTACTGTTTATTGTTTGTCTCTCTAATCAGATAAAAGCTTCATGAGGTCAGAGTCTTTGTCTTATTCAGTACTGTATCCACGGCACCCAGAATACAGTCTGCTACAAAGTAATCATTCGATAAAATATCTGGTGAATAAAGGAATGGAATGGATAGTATGAGAGAGAAATCATAAATACCAGCTTCGGCAGCCAACTGACCAGTTGATCAAGGTACGCTGCTGCTTCTGCATTTCCTTGCTTGCTGAATCACACATATGTGTGTTTAAAATTAACTTCTCTTAGCTTTCCTTTTCTGCCACTGTTAGATGTAGAGCAGACTGGTTAAATTTCCTTTTTTGTTTAATTCACAGGTTGACAGAACAAGAAGAGGAGCAGATATCACCCAAACATCCTAAACGTGGTGCTATCCAAAGCTAAATGCATTAACGAGACCACTGCCTTACTCTCCTCGGTGGAGAAGAGGATGACTATGTTCTGGTTACATGGGGAATAACTGCATTATGTTGGTTAGAACATTTTTTAAATTACATATATAAAGATAAATTGTATGTTGGCTAGCCAAGGACCACATTGGAACGTTTGCCTTTCCGACTTTCATCTTTCCTTCTTAACATCCTCTAATTTCCCTCTGAGAAACAATGACTCCCCTTATATTTATGCAAATAGGACTCTTAACCAACCTGTCCTTCCCTCTTTTGGTCAAGGGCCCGGGAATCTGACTCTTGTATAAGGTGTTGCGAAATTATGGGTAAATGGTGAATTTGACCCAAAATTTTGGTGGCACCATAAAGAGAATGGTCATCGAATCCTGTCCTAATTTCTATCTTTTCTGAAATATGCTCCTTCAGCTTATCTTTCAATTTTGTGAGCTGTTCCCACACCTTTTCCTAACAAAACTTTTACCTAGGATACCCGAACCACTGTTTCTCCATTTGTAAAACGTGGCTAACACTGACTTGACGGTGTTCAGTATAAAAATTAAATGAGATATTCACTCATTTATTCAAATATTTGAGTGTCTACCACTGACCCAGCCTCTGGGGGCACAGAAACAAGAGATACAATCCCAAAAGAGAGGAGTGAAAGAGTGAGGGCCACGAGGTGCTGAGTGGAGGTGTCGTCCGGACGTCTTGCGGAGGAATGACCTTTGACACCAAGGACACGTCCTCCACTGTACTAGACTGAACCTTACGAAACTGGCGATATTTAACCATTCTGACCTATAACAGCAACAACACGGCTAAACCTAGTAGGACAGAGGAAGCAGAAGGCAGCTACGAAGAACGCACAGACACATGGATTCAGGGGTGGGAATTAGAAGAAGCTATTCTAACCTGTCTTATTTGTATGTAAAATGCCTAGAATACCAGACACTCCGTTTCTTTAGGCATAGATTACTCTTTGAAGTAAGTTTGTGGAATCTGCATCCTAAAGGCTTTTGTATGGAGGAGAAACATTCGCCTTTTCAGGATACCTTTGGTGCTCCTGGGAGGAAAAGACTGGGCCCGAATCTTTAATTCTCTAATTTGTTACCTTTCCGCACAACTTAAAACTACGAAAACACTGTTGTTGTTTTTTTTTAACCTCAAAAATATCTAAAGGACTAAGGTAGCCTATGCAGAATCAGGATAAAAGAGAAAATCACGCTCGATTTTTAAAATAAAAAATGAAGTCAAAGAAATAATAAACCCGACTGACTACTGAGGGCAGGAGCACAGGCTAAGCACGGTGGCAGCTTTTAAAACACGGCCGTCGAATTTAAGACCCCGTCCTTTTGAACACCGCCGTTTGCTGCTGCCTTTACGCTCGCAGCGGCTACTCTGCAAAGGTCTAGAGCGGACTGTGGTCAGATTTAAGAGCCGATTCTGCAGCACTGCCCTGGCCGGGGTTCTGCTTGTGTCCTCAGCCCGGCTGGCAAGCGACTGCCTGCCTCTGCGGTACTTTACACTGCTAACGACGCTGGCAGGTGTCACTGCCATCAGCTCGGCCCGAAACCCGGGCAGGTGCGTCCAGATGGCAGAACCTAAGTTACAAGAGAGGCTGACAAAACAAGGCCCTGGCATTTTCGGCTTCTATGAAGGAAGGAGTCTCTGCCTCAAAACCAAAACTGAAAGATGAATTCCCCAACCACAGGAAGAGGGTTCAGACTCTTGCTGTTCCAGTGATAAAAGATACACATAGGGTTCTAAAGAAGAGTCAAAATGGGTTTTCAAAAGGGTGATAAAAGTCACATCTGTAGAGAGCAATATACAACTCTCTGGTACCAACGGAATAAAAAATTATAAGCATACCTTGTAATAACGGAAGTAGTCTCTCTCTTGCAATTTTTTGATTTTGGGGAAGATTTTAAATGTGTTGAAGTTATCGATGCTATCAATATCACACAAGCAATCATCCAGGACTCCGGTGACCTAGGCGAAAAATATATGTGTGTGTGTATATACATATATATGCACAAAATTTAAAATAGGTTTCAACCTAACAAAGCTGTACTGTTATATAAAAGATAATTTATACATTCAAATTAGCTAGTGTCTGCTAATTAAGGTACATAACACTAAAGCAGTCAGTTTTTACTACAGCCAATTCAATAGAAACAACGGAAGGATCAGATGTACCTGTTCTGAAGAACTAAACGTTCTTGTTTAGTGCTCAAAAAGAAAAATATTGAATGCGCCTTCCCTTGCCTAAACATATATAAAATCCAAACAGTCGTTGGAATGCTGAAGCAGTCTCTTTCAAGACTAACCTAGAAGTCACGGACTGAAATAATATTGCCGTAGTAACCCTATCTTTCTTTTAGACTGCCGTCTATGGAATACTTAACGTGATAGGAATGGTGCTAAGAGCTTTATGTATGTTATCTCATTTACTCTCTAACTACCCGATGAAATAGGCATTACTATCCTCACTTTACATATAAGGAAATTAAGGATTAGCACGGTTAAAATAATTTTTTCCAACATAGACAAGACTTACTCCCAAGTCTGTCACACTTTAAAATACATGCTCTTATCCAGCACTCAAAGTATACGTTAATCGAAGAAAAATTGATATTTATGAAGTGAGTTCAGAGTCCAAAAATTCCATAAAACATTCTTCATGACGTAAAGAGTTAGGGCTCTATTACCTTAAGATAAAGAATGGGAGTCATTATGGAGAATTTTGGCCTGGAATTCTACATGCTTTGCAATCCCACCCACTCACTAAGACTCCCTCCTCAGGTTTGGTAATTTGTTGGAACTCAGGAAAACACTGCGCTGAGGGTCGCTGGTTTACCGTGAAGGAACAACTCAGCGGGGGCCAGGTGAGGAGCAAGTGCAAACTCCTGTGCCTCCCAGCCACCCTCCCAGCCACCCTCCCGCAAGCCTAGGTGCTCACTGCCTGGAGCTCAGCAAACCTGCTGGCCTCGGGAGCTTTCTCGCGCTCCATCTCCAGGTGCTCACCCCATCCTGGAGGCCAGTGGTTGGGGCTACCGGTCCCAGTCCTCAAATTGCTAAGTCCTTCCAGGGACCAGGCCCGTCCTGAGGCTATCCAGGGTTCCTGTCCTCCTAAGTCACAACACGAGCATACACTCCCGTGGGACTGAAGGGGCTGTTAGGAATAACAAAAGGCACTCCTATTACTCAGAAAGTTTAGGGTTTCAGGAGCTCTGTACCAGGAATAGGTGACAAAGACCAAATACACTGTCGATTACACCACACTGTGTGAGGTAGGAAGCCACTGGAGAGTTTTAATCAGGCAGTAAAAGGACCATGGAGGGTGTCTCTTTGTCTCTTTTCTATTGTATGATCAGGGAAGGTAACAATTCAGATAAGTGGACAAGTCAGATAAGGTGACACTTGAGAAGCCTAAGAAAGTGAGCCACCTGGATACCTGAGCAGTGTGTGCTAGACGTCCAAAGGCTTCGAGGCAAGAACATACTTGCTCCGTTTCAAGAACAACAGGGAGGTCAGTGTGGCTGCAACACACGTCTAAGGGGGAGAAGACAAGCTGGAGCAGATTTGAGGGGAAAGGATCAGGAGTTTGGTTCCTGGTACATCCAGCTGGAGATACCTAGCAATCATCCAAGTGGAGATGGAAAGAGGTAGCTGGATGTAAGCGTCTGGGGCTGACACTCCTGGCCTGGAGATGCTAAGGCAGGTATACAGGTGCCATTTAAAGCCAAGAGGATAAACGTGACAACCAAGGTAGGAAGAGGGAAGAGCACAGGATTTGAACCCTAAGGTTCAAATGACCAGTGGTCAGAGGCAGAGGAGGAATATAGTCATCTCCTTAATGACTTCTTGTGAATAGAGGTATTTTTCAAAAACCTTCCCTTTACGCTTTACTGTTCTGCTTCCAATTTAGTCCATGGAAGAGTGAAAGCCCTGTCTTAGGCCCCCTTTTTCATTTTCCTGGGTCTCCCAGCGCTTTATTTCTACGCGACAAAAAAGCAAGCACACCGAAATATACTGTTCAGACCAGAAAGGGACCCGCTGGGGTTCCAGCTTCATCTTGTTCACTGACTTAACAAGTGTGATTCTAGTCACATAAGCTCTGAACTTCGGTTACCTCAAGAGCCCCACTTCTTAGAGATGTATCAACTAAGATGAGAGAATGTATATGGGAACTGGTTAAAGTACTGTCAAAGATGTGATCAAACCCTGTATTAGAAAGTACCACTGGAAACAAAAACCAAATCTATTCGCTTTTGAGGATTATTTGGCACAATGCCAAAAGAAAAGACCTCGATTTAGAAAAGTATCTAAATGTAAATTCCACTCAAAAATAGACATCCAACTGGTAACTAGGAAATAATTTTGCCAACATTTCCTTTTTGTAAGTCTGGTAGGGATGCCCGGATTTCCATTATCTATTTCGGGTTTTCCCAGTGGGGATGAAAAGGTGGCCGGCCAGCAGGCTAACCACATTCTAGTTACCTGCAAGGTTTAAAATGCTGATTCCTGAGTCACATCCAGGTCCATTAAATCAGGACATGTGGCAATGGGGCCAGAGAATTTGCATTTTTAACATGCTCCTCAAAACCCAAACCGAAAGTTTGCCCCTTTCATTTTTATCAAATCATTTTTAAAAAATTATATGTGGACACAAATAGAATACTCAGACATTCTGGGATTTGGTGCACAACACCATAACGCCATGAAAAAAAGTGAACAAAATCAGAAAAACATGTTTACAAGATTACACACTCATAGTCATAGTTACCTATTTTTCTTAGCAATGAGCTTTAATTGCTTCAGATTCTCTCTCTCCTGGTTATGGGGCAACCTGAGACACCACTTTGCAGCAGGTGCAGACAAACAGCGCACCTGGCAGCAGTCTATCCAAATTCGACTGTGTGACAAACAAACACGTCTCTTCAGGGCAAAGATCCGGTCACCAACCCTCCGATTTCCAGCATATTGAGAGCACTTGTGTAATATCAGCTTCGCAAAGACAAGCCCCGAACTCTGCTCGCGGGCCGTCACCTCCCTGCTGAGACCCGCGGGCCGACCCGAACCCGACCCCAGCCTTGCACGTGGGCGCACCTGAACGCCACTTGGCAACAGGACAAGTTGGTAAAACATAGCGGTCCCGAGTGAGGGTGACAACCAAGGGACCATCTAGTCCAAAAGTTGAGGAAGCGAAGTCTGTCCCCTCCCGGCCCGCTCTGCTCCCGCAGGCCGTGGGTCTGTCCCGTGGTGCCCCCCGCCCACAACTCTCCAAGGAGGGTCCCCCGTCTCTGGGCCCGTTCTTGGCAAACGGTGGGGATGTTTTCGCTCCCGCCCCTCCCGCCGCACTCCCAGCAGCTTAAGAAATCAGCTCAGAACGAAAACACCTCCGGGGCCCGCGCCCTCTTCCTCTCTCCCTGCCGTCACCCCGAGTGTCGCCACCCCGCGCACGGGCGGCTCGCCCGCGCTTTCCGGACGCCTGTCAGATCGCCCCGCGGCCACCCTCAG